GGTAATACTGTAAATATTGCTAATGGCAGATATTGTGGAAGGTAATGACGTAATCCCTGATTATTTTCCTCTATTTACCAGGGGCGTCGCTAGCCTTTACAATCTCAAGGGGCTCAACTAAAAAATTTATCGAGGCATCGCCTCCCATGCCCCCCAATTTGTGGGCCTTCGGCCCGATTTTGCCCGGCCTTCAGACGGGTTTTATATTAATATATTATACTTTTTTAAATTTCTTAACTCTGAACAATTATTGTGAATTTTAATTTTCTCATTTATTATATTAAGCATACAAATTAAACTGGCATATAAACAATTATAATATTACAAGACATTTCTAAAAATAAAATTTTTTAATACAAAATCTATTTATTACAGTAGAAAATATTTTCGATTGCTGATATAAAAAAAATTTGCGTCTAAAGAATTACATGATAAAAAAGATTAATTACTTCGTACATATGCTTCAATTGATAATAGTTTTGCCACACAATGCAAAAATATAATTCTTAGCAACTATTGACAAAATGTTATCAAACTAATATAACTCTCTGTACCATTTTACACATTAATAGAATAGACTAATAAGGAAAAATTTATAGGCCTAAACAAAATCAACAATTCTTGAAGAAGAGAGTATAAGCGACCAATCCAAATCATAAAACTATTAAGTGGTTAGAGCTTCCTTTTAGATGACATGATAATAGCTAGATAAGTAATCGAGAAAATATTGTTAGATATAAATTTCTAAAAGATCATCATCCATTTTAAATGATATATAATATATAAAGACTACACAGTTGACAATTATTGTTTATCTAAAATATGCAATCATATGTTCTCAGCCGTTGTAGTAATAATTTTAAATTACATAGCTAAACAAATAATAGATGCTGGTTAATTTGCAGTAATAGCCATGACACTCACGATGTAAACTAGTATCAGAATTTATTATGTTGGATAAATTGATAAAATAAAAACACTTAAAATCTTTGGAGAAATAATTGTGCAAATATATTGAAGCCTTGAGTTATTTACACGGCATGGATGCCATATTAGAATGAAATATTTTGGAACTATAAAATAAGGACCAGAATGATATGATGAAACAATATAGATTTTATATATTATCGCACCTTGGTATATTATATCTTAAAATAATAGTAGTTTGTAAAAATAAAATATACTTGTATTAAAAATTTAACTCAAAACTGTTTTTTGAAAAAGAAAAAAATATCTTTCCTAACGTAAGAAAAGAAAAAATATCATATTTATTACATCTATTGCAGGATAAATAATAAAATGTTTAATTTTTAAAATTATTTGTAAATAGATAGATGGCGTTAAATATTTGAAAGCAAATTGTTACTATATTTATTATCAAAAGCATTTATTAGTAAAATTCATTATAATATTAGCTGTATTATATTATAACTGTCAAATACGTCTATAAAAGTGACATTTTATCTAATATTTTATAAACAACTGTATAAGAGGATTATAAACTATATGTCTATTTACATCAGTGGCGTAGCTACGGGGGTGGTTTTCGGGTTTGGACCCCTCCCAAAGGAAAAATTTATTTTTAGATTATACGTTCAAAAGACTTATAAGTGGTGACTTTATATCAAATAAATATCAATAATATTTATATTTTTCTGGTTTTGATGTTTGTGGAAGGATATAATATTACTATTGAAATTATTCTGGATAGTATTATTATAAAATCATTGAGAATAATCTACTAAATTATAAAACAAATTATTGATGCATTTAAAAATATATTTATTATATATTATCGAAGATATGGTTATGATTTGTAAGATATACCCGGCCGAAGGCCGGGCAAAAGGGCGTTAAAGAGGGTCTGGGGGGCGAAGCCCCCAGGCTTTTATATGTATGGACCCCCTCTAAGGAAAATTCCTAGCTACGCCACTGACTTACATACTTACTTACTTTTTATTATACTTACAGTGGCGTAGAGAAGTGAAGGTTTTGGGGTTAAACCCCCCCCCCCCCATAACCTCATAAATTTTTTTTTTAATTTTTAGTAAATTTTTTTGTTAAATTTTTTTCTTATTGCAAATAATTTTATTTAAAAATTTCAATTTATAAATAAAATTATATACGATATGAAAATGAAATATATATAAAAAAACAAATAATAATTTTTAATTTTATATGATAACATGGTTTAAAAATATATATTAAAAATTATATGTAAAATATTAAATAACAATAAAAATATATTGTAAATTTTTTCTCACATAGTTAATTTAGATATTTATAAATTTAATAATAAAATTTATAATGTTAAAATAATTAGATATTTTAAATAAAAGAAAAATCATTTAATTTGGTAAATATAACGAGAAAGTATGAGCGCTAATATGTTTTGGATTAAAAATTTCAATAGCTTAAATATTGATGCATCTACGATTGAGGATTTTTATAAAATAAATATTTTTACTCCCTTTATTGAATTAAATGAAAGATTTATTAGTCACAATTTTATTTAAACAGCTTTTATATTCTTTTGCCGGTTGAGTCTAAATACCAGTGTTTACATAAACGGGGGGGGGGCATTTTGCATCCTAATATCTATAAAGGGGTAGGGAGTATGAGGTAGGGGGTAGGCATTTTGGGGGGTAGGCTATAATAATCTAAAAAAATTTTCATACATTTTTAAATTATCTATGGATAACATTTTGGTATTTTTAGGGGGTAGATATATATTTTTGAGGGGGGTTTGCATCCAGTGAATATACTGTCATGTAGACGCTGCTAAATACACTTGAAACGCGAGAGGATATTAAGAAAATCTCAGAGTTTTATTCTGATGAATTATCAGGATCGTATGATAAATTACTTTTTGATGTCGAATTTTGGTATAAAAATGTTAACAGAATAGAGTACTCTTAGAGACCAAAATATGCTTTGCAGGCCCTTTCCATATATAATTGCACTTTAGATTCCCTGCCTAATATCAAAACATTGCCTTTTATCTTAGCTACCTTACCTATTAGCACCTGCACTAATGTAAGGTCTTTTTCAACTTGAAAAGGTTAAAAACCTATTTGAGATATAGCACCGGTGAAAGCCGTTTAAATGGATTCGCAATATTAAATATTTATAAGGAGATTATTCTAGATAAAAATTTGATTCTAGATGAATTAGTTAAATCTCAAAGAAAAGTAAACCTCTCTTTATAAATTCTATTTATAAAATTGCTATATTATTATAATATGATCTTAATCATAAAATTTTTATATTCAAAACGTAATTATAATGAATTCTTAGTCATAATATTTATATATTATACTATTTTTAATAAAATATTGCATTTGCACAAAGAATTAGTGATCTGCATCGGGTCTAATTTTTCACGCCCGGCTCTGCCCGAAATTATTTAAAAAAAGATTTGTCGGACTGTCCCGAATTTATTTAAATATAGAAATTCATCTTAATTACTAAAATAAAAGATATATGTTATATGGCCTCATGTTTTTATAAATAAAATCAAATATTTATATTTTACATAAAAAATTTAACATAAAATTGATATATTTAGATATATTAAAAAAATTTCTAAGGCCCGACCCAACCCGGCCCAAATTTTTTAAAAAAATATTAGGCCCGACCTCGCTTTTCTTACTTTTGCGGATCTCTAATAAGAATTATTTATGTTTTATTAATATACACATTTGTATTAATTATATTATAAATGTTAATTAGATTTTTTTAAATACCGCACAATAATTACTTATATTTTATTGTAATTCTATTTTTTTTAAATATAGTTATTAAGAATAAATTTTTAATATAATCTATATAAATATCATACATTTTGAAATTTATTTTATTGTATAAATAATAAATAAAATCTATAATGAAATTCTTTGCAAAATTTTGTTAAATGCAAAAATTTAAATAAAATAATTATTTTTAACATAGAATAAGATATATTGAGTGATCATAAAAAATGGGAGGTTGGGGGTGGAAGCGATTTTATTCTTCTTTCTACACCGAATGGATTGAATTAATTTACAATTGACTAAACATTGATAAAATTTTCATCACATGCTTTCAGTCGCGTATTAATAATAAATTTGGCCAAAATTTTCTTACTAGTATTTTTTTCAGTTATGCTGGTTAGTAGTATAGTGGTTAGACACCAATAAAGTACAAAATTGGCAAATTTTTAAAATGCGGTTTGGGGGCGGAGGCCCCAAAAAAATTTTAACCCCCCCCCCCCCCCCACCATGGATCAATCTTGGTTACGCCACTGTATACTTATTTGGACCTTGAGAATAGGTATGATAATAAAATTTAAAAATAAATATACAGTTGGTTAGTCATTTTGAACTCTGCTAATTACAATATTAAATTTTTTAGTTTTCAATTAATAAAGGATTATAATTTAATTAGTGGTTATAAAATTATTTAAATAATAATAGTCAATTAAGCTTCAATTGTTAATGCTAAATTATATTTAGTGAGTGATATTGATATTCTATTTTTAACACAAAATTTAATTGCTAGCCGACATAGTGAAAATATAATTTACATGTATTAATTTAATCTAATATTTAAAATAGTATTCATTAATATTTAGATTGTCTTATTAATTTTTGAATAATAAAATTAAATCTATAATTTACTTAATAGAATTATATAAGAAATCTTTCAGGGGCAATCAAAAAAATTTATTTTTAGTTCAAAGAGTTTTTTTTGCTTCAGAGGGCTAATCAAACACTGCTATTTACACGTTAAACAATAAAAATTAGGAGAGCGCACTCGATGCTATTTCCTAGGCTCAGTTTGAAATCTATTCTCTAAAAAATGTACTTCTATAATAAAGTCCTACTACTAACATCTTAAACACAAGTTTTCCCTTCATTATGATGAAAGTGTAAGATATCAATCTTCCTTCAAATTTATCCAAAAAATCGAAAAATATTAGGCGATTTGTTGCGATGTAAATTTTGCCCATTATCATATGGAAGGATAAAATCAAATCGATTTTAATTTTTTTTTTATAATTTATAATTATTTATGGAAAAATCAAGCTCCTTAAATTCTTCATATTCTATTATTGTTGATAAATATCCATTACATCTAGCTATATGGGAAATCAAACCTAAAATTCTTTTGAAACACATTAAGAAAAATGGGGTTAGTTCTATATAAGATCTATTAAATCTAGGTTTTCGATAACTTCAATAAGTTCATAATATAATATTTATAATTCTTATTTTATAAATATACACATGGTTTAATTTTGTTTTGAAATAGATAAATTAGTCCATACTTTTTAAATTGTAAATATAAATTAGCATAATTAAAGTATATGATGAATCTTTTTAAAAAATACTTTAAATATTTGTAAAATTAGTGCAATATAGAAAAATTAGATCCTAGAGGCAGATCACCTCTTCAACTTGCTGTGTTATTAAATAATCTTGAATGTGTCAAAATCCTTTTGGAAAATGGTGCTGATGTTGTTGACTCTTTAAACAAAGATGGCTGGTCAAGTAAAATTATTTACATATATTATTTTAATATAGAATTTATATATTTTTTTAAAAATATGATACATATCATAAATATATTGATATCAGGCTTGTATCTAGGAAGTATCAGCTGAGGGGAGACAATATATTTTTTTGAGGGATATTGTTCTTTCATAAGTCATAAGAAACAAATTTATAGGCTAGATTTGGAGGCTGGAATTTATTATTATTTATTTGGAAGGGGGGGGGGGAAGGGTGCCTTTCTGGCTATGGGGCTAAATAGCATATTATAAATATGGAATTTTATATGATAATCTTTCAATTTATTGTGTTGTTAAAAAACGTTTTTAACATTAATTTTAAATTTATTTCCTATTTAAAAGGATTTTAAAATTTTCTGTCTGTCCACTAATATCTTATTATTTATGAAGTTACATATAATTAGCATATCCAAAACTAATTTAATTGAAAGAAATAGAGATTTTCTTATTTTAATTTTTTTTTCTTCTTCTAACATAAAATATAATGTAAGCTGGTGAATGCTTGTTATAGAGTGCAGTTTATTTTCTTTCATTGGGATCAAAATAGTTTCTTAAAAATTAGTGCTGCCAGATATTATTCGCTTGAAAACGTGAGTTTTTCTTTTAATGGGGGGCTTTGCCCCCATACCCCCCAATTTGCGGGCCTTTGGCCCACTTTTGCCAGGCCTTCGGCCGGGAATGTTGTAACATACTAATCTTTGTTAATATGTTATATTTAAAAAATTTTAAGACAATGAAAATTCAAATTCTTTATTGATTTACTAATCTTATTATAATGTATAATTTTCCATGTTATAAATATCGCATAATATTAATTATTATATTTTATAGATGATTTTAAAAGAGGTAATAAAGATTTCCCATCAGCACTGTGGAGATAGGCTGAGAACTCTTTGCATGAATAATTAAAATTTTGTTTCACCATAAGTTCTGCTTCCAATGTTGATAAATGTAAATGATTGTGTTCTTTTCATTAAACTGAATATTCTCTTGGATGAAGCATTTGAATGCGGAATAGAAAATATAAAATCACATATTTTCTCTATCAAGGGTGTTTTTATTAGAGAGGAAATCCATCCATTTTTCTTGGGCATTCATATGATTGTTTTTTGATAATTTTTCTTCATAATATGAATAAAATTGCGAATATTCCTCAAAGAGACTATCTATATCTGGTATTTTATAATTAATAATAATTTTTTGTAATTGCTCAAATGCTGGACATTTATCCAATGTCATAGGGCTAAGATATTTCCCTATATTATCTATTATTTCATAACGTTTTTCAACATAATCTATAATATTTTTTATAAATATTTTTGATTCATTATTGAAATTTATTGCCTTTTCTACATCATTATCATGTTGTAAAATATTTTTAGAAATGCTCCCATAAAAATTTTGTTGAATTTTTGAATTTAATGAATTCTTTAATTTTAGGATAAGATCATGTATATATATTGCTAATACATCTTCAGATTGCAATTGTAAATTTATGTTATTAACTATAGTGCCAACGTTAAGGACAACACCTAAATAGGCCTCTGCAAAATCATCTTCAAAAAATATTTTCAAAATTGGTGGGGTTACTGATAATGATAAAAAATATTCTTTAAGGCCACTTCCAAACATTACGTTTTTTCAAAACGTTTTCCGAGGCACGTTTTTCGCAATATTTTTTACTTCCAAACAGCAACGATTTATATTTTACAGCTGATTTTTTAAAAATTAATCTTATAACTAGATATTTTATTATGAGACATTATAAAAAAAACGGAAAATTGAATGCACATTTGGCATAGCTACTGCTATATTTGCCCTACTTTCTAAAGCTATAGAGTGTTCAGTTGAAATTGCTGATAAAATTATATCTACAATTACTCTTTCACATAATATTATTATTGATTATGATGAAATAGATTATACACCTAATATTTTACCTATTACTGAAAATTTAGGGATCATTAGATCTTTAAATGCTTCAAGTTCTAATTCAAGAGAAATTAGAGAATTATTTAAAGACTATTTTAATTCTTAAATATATGTTTAATTTAACATTTTATCATTATATATAAATTACTTTTGTATGTGTGTATAAATTAATAAATTGCTTTTGTATTTGTATATAAATCACTTATGTATGTGTATATAAATCATTTATTTTAATTTAAACTTATAAAATAATACATAACTATTTAAACATCAACATTTTCTACTATAATATTATTTATATAATTATAAATAAGAGTTTGCACATTAATTTTCATGGTGTCCTTAACTTCATTTGGCACCTTCTTTACATTATCAATTAAAGACAGGCACCATAATCTATCTGGGTCATTATCAATTTCTAACATTTTGTCAAAATATCTTTCCATTGGGTCTTTTGTTACTCTAGCCCTTTTTACAGGTCTTACATTCTCTATATTATCTGTGATATTATTTAGTGTCTTTCTTGGTGTGGTGGAAGTAGTAAGAAATGATAGTGAATCATACCATTTCCATGGAGTGCTAGCTTTTGCAGCATCACCTGAATGCACTTCTTCTCTCTTTCTCTTTTCATTTTAAATAAGAATCCCTCAAATTCTTCCATTTTAATTTACAGACATTTGGGGATGAATCAAGCCTGGTAAATAATAAAGGATAAAAAATAATTTTATTTAAATAAAGATATAAATTATTAAAATTCATATTCCATGCTTACTAATAAATAGTATCTAATTAAAAAGTCTGTTAATTAAAAATTATTATTATAAAATAGTCAATATTTTCAATATAAAGTCTTGTTCTACTTTTTAGCACATAAAGTCCATAGTTCATCTACTAATAATCTATTAGAATAATTATCATTAGATTGGTTCCATAAATCGCATGATCTTCTACAAAATTTATCAATTCAGATACAAAATTTCCTCTAAAATCATTTCATTTATTGAATAAAAAAATTACTTATTCATTTCAATTGTATCAGACGCCATTTAATCGTTAAAAAAAATCAAGCTAGTTTGTTATTAAAATAATCGCAAAATCGTATGCATGAAAAAATCGTTTGGTTTGGAAGCACACATCTATTAAGCTTAATTTGTTATTTATCGCTTTGAAAAAACGTCGTGTTTGGAAGTGGCCTAAGGGTTTGAAAATACTTAAGCATTTGCTCAATCGCTGGGATTAATGTAAGCCAGTGTGTTGGAACATGGCGAAGTAATTCTGACCATTCTACCAATTCTTTTAAAATTGTAACTCTTTTTGTCGAGTTGCTAAATCATTATAGCATTTTATTACTATACTCTCAATATCATATTTGAGAAAAATTACAGCCTTTTTGAACGAATTGTGAAGAATATGGCATATACAGCCTATTGGTATAATATTATTATTATGACTTTGTCTAAATACTTTGATTTTTCCCAAAGTTTACAGATGTGTTATCTGCACAATAGGCCGTTACATTAGAAATATCAAGTCCAGCTATTTTTAAATTTTCTAGTAAACATCTAGATATGTCTTTAGAGGTTTCACTGTCAGACAAAAAAATTTAAGTAATTTAACATTTATTTTATTATTTTTGTTGGGAAATGTTTTTATATTACCTTTATTCGATGCATCCGTTAGTATTGAAAATGGATGATTGTTTTTTAGATCTTTTATAATATTTGCCTTTGTTTCAGGTGCCAAAATATTTTTTATTATTTGCGAGCCTTTTGCTTTGCCACATGAAAATATTGATGCAATTTTAGAGTCAGGGAAAAGTGTGGAAAATAGCTTGCTTGAACAATCAGCCGACATATAGCTATATGAATGTTGTTTCAGCAATAACGCACAAGGTCTCATTCTTAAAATATTTGGTTATGTATGATGATATAGTAGTATTGGTTCGAGATTGTTCATTTGCCAGCTTATGTTTGTTAGATATCATATGTTTGATTATATCATACTCTCCACTATGGCTTATTGAAAAGCATGATGCACATATACTACATTTTACAGACGACCCTGAAAGCTGCTTTATCCATTCATATTTTTGTTCCCAACTTTTATTATAACCTACCTTATATATTTTCCTCTTTTTGGTTTGTTTTTATTTCAATTTTTCATCTTGAAAATTATAACTTGAGGTTGAGGATGAGCTTCCTGAAATATTTTGAATTTGAAAATCCATTCTGTAAATAATGAGGTTTTTAAGAAAATACAGAATACATCAAATCATAAATTAGCATTTTTTAAATATTTTAATCTGACCTACTGAATATAAATTACCTTTATTATAAATTTTATTTAATTATTTTATAAAAATGTTCCTGTCCTGAACTCTAGAAATGAATGTTTTTAGATGTATCTTAATTTGATTGTATATTTAGCAATATCTAAGTTAAATTAAACTAATTATAATTGTGAGAGTTTCCTTAAATATTTTGAATTTGCAAATCCATTCTGTAAAAAGTTCAAGAAATAGATATTATATTAAATTTTTAGATAATGAGGTTTAGATACAGAATAAATCAAATTATAAGTTAGCTTTTAAAAATAATAATCTGACCTACTGAATATAAATTACCTTTATTATAAATTAATTTTACTTCAAATTAAGAATTATATAAAAACATTAATTGCTAGAGTTGATTAATTCAGGATCATTTTTATGAAATAATTAAGTAAAATTAATTTATAATTTGTTATTTTCTTTTAAACCCTCATTTTTCTATTTCTTGAACTTGTTACAGAATGGATTAGCAAATCCAAAATACAGGAAGCTCTCACAAAATATAATTAGTTTAATTTAACTTAGATGCTAAATTAACAATCAAATTATGAAATATCTAAAAACATTTTGTTTATTTTGATTAAATAGATTCAGGATCATTTTCATAAAATAATTTAGCAATATCTAAATTAAATTAAACTAATAATTTGTGAGTGTATGTATAATTAATTTATTTCATTTAAAATTTTACTAGTTTTAATATATGATTTATAAAATCCATAATAGTTATTATTTAAATTCATATTATACTTGATAAACTATCCAAAAATTGAATTTGTAGGTAGGTAATTAAATGAATATGAATTTGATATGTTAATTTTAATATTATAAACTATGTTAAAAAAATTTAAAAATGAATATAAATTTAAAAATATATGATTGGTTAGTTGAACCATTAATAAATACTACAATTTTTTTAAATATTTTAAAATAAAATTAATTAATATTTGTTTTTAAAAATATTTAAAAAAATTTAAAAATATTTTGAAAAAATTTAAAAACATGAGAAAAGATGTGAGTCTAGGCATGATTATTTTAATTTACTCAAAAAACGTGAGAAAAGCGTGAGAGAAAACGTGAGTAAGTAAAAAATTAGGTAAGAAATCGTGAGAATCACGGCTAAATCGTGAGATCTGGCAACCCTGGCTCAGATACTTATATTATTTTTATTAAAATAACAATGACATTCAATTTTTTATGCACATATATATCCCCTTTAAAAAGATTTCTTACCAATATCTGGAAAAAAGTAAATGACTATTTTAAAAAAAAATTCCCTCAAACCACTCTATAAAATTAATATTTTTTAATTATCTTGACTAAAATATATACTTAAAAAACACATTTTAATCAAATATACCAGTACAATATATATTTTTTTTTATTTTCTCTATTGTTTTTCTTTTTATATTAAAAATAATAATTAAATAACCTTTCAAATTGAAGTCACAAATAATTTGTTATGTATTTTGATGAAAAACATTGATGCATCTAAAATTTAATATTATAAAGTTTGGCTGATACCTTATAAATTTTTGAAAACGTACTTGTTAAATTTGAGCAAAAATGTTATCATTTTTTTAGGCTTAGACCAGGTTTTTTTAAAAATCTTACTATTTTCGGCACTCCAGAGAGATCTCTGAAAATTATATTTATTTATTTGCAGAAACATTACATTTTTTTTAAAGTGCAACAATCCATATGATCTCTATTTTATAAGAAATGCGATCTATAAAAACGTGGTTTGTGTTCTTATATGCATTGTCTATATTTTAAATGAGCAAGATAAATAGTGTCATAGAAAGAGGAACGGATTTAATATAACAGCAAAAATAGTTAACGTTCCTATTTATTCATAATATGCTCATACTGCATTCCCGTTTATTATCATGTTGATATGCAATATTTATCCTGATACGTTTTCCGATTTTGACAGTTTAAAATGCTATTATTTAAAATATAGGTTAATGTGGGGAGAAAAATGGTTTAAATTAGGGGTGTACCGATACCACGTTTTGGAAGCCGTCCCTATCCTATAATCCCGATATTAAATTGATATCGGCCGATTACCGATCCGATATCTTATCTAATTTTGTATTCTGTAAAGAAACCAATGGTTTTAATTTTTAATATATAATTTAACTATACCATAACATGATTTAAATATATTATAATGATTAGTATATTTTATATTCAATTCACTTGTAATTCTAAAAGTATAATAAATTTTTTTTAGAGAAAAATCACTTATTTATATAATAAGTAATATATTAATCTATTTACATAATAAGTAATAAACAAATATATTATAAAATTTGAAATAAATATTTAAAATTAATATATCGAAGATTTCTTTTTAGAAATACCAAAATTTCCAATTTATCAGAGGTCAATCTGCGATGATGGGGACTATATCACTAGCTTCACTAAAAACAGATTCTGAAGAGATTATTGCACACTTTTATAAACAGAATGCAAAAAATAATAACAATATGGCAAAATGTTTATTAACTAATTATTACTATTAAAAAAATTAAACATAAAAATGGTCGATTTTATTTATAAAAATAAATGGTTTTTAGATATAACTTTTTTAAAAAATTTTATAATATTTTATTTTTGTTAAAAACGCCATTTTGTATTGGATCGGATTGGAAAATTTTATAATATTTGCCGATAACCGATATTTTAAAATAGGTGAAATATCGGCCCGATTCGATCAGATATAAAATATCGATAACATTATTTTGATATGCAGGAGATGGCTGGACATGGGTCAAAGGTCTATTTTTGAGTCTGTTAGATATGTGTAGCAAATTTCTGATTTTTAATACATTATCACATAAATTTATATGATATTATTACCATGCCATGCTACGTATTATCTATTTTATATTTGAAATTGAACACTCTATTTTGAATAATTTTGCCTTAATTATTCAGAAAAATAACAATAAGTTTGATTTAAATGAGAAATACCCTATCCATTTGAATGTATACTTATCCTATTTTATTGGTCATCCATAAACTCCTTAATTCAATTATAATAATAACCATGAAATATTGATTTTTCTATAATATCGATTCGTGAAATGTTTTCTAAAACTTGTCCAATTCCTACATTTTCTAAATCCACAAAAACCTTTATTTAAAAATCAAATGTCGAAAAAAATACGAGGAAAGAGTTCATTTTTTTTAGTATTAAAATTACGGAATTTATTTAAAGTTTATTTTTCAACATTAACTATTTCAACATCTATGATCGGTTCAGTCCAATGAGATTAATACTAATCTAGATGTATGTAATTTATTTAAAATGCATTAAAAATTGTACATACATTGAAGTCCTTTATTGAAAGGCATTTAAACGAAATGACGTCTACTACAGCCAAGGAAGTTGAACAGCTGACTTTAAGGTATATGTATAAATGGATCATCAGTCTAAATTGATATTAAAGTCATTGGTTTAGGCATAATTATTATTTTCATTTTTCCATTTGTTAATTATTTCTGCTTGTCACTTAGTCGGATATCCAAGCACTTACAACATCCTCACACTTAATTTTTTTTCTATTAACTTATTTTTAATCATACTTATTTACCATAATAATGCCTTTAAATTTCTCATTTAGTATAACGTCTTGTTTCTTAACATCTGATCTGCCACTATATTCGCACTATTTGCCACTTAATTTTATTTCCTTGGTCTATTAACATTTAGAAACCTCCAGTACTGTGGGTATTAGGTCCTGTCTGGAAAATGATTATTTTAGCTTTTCCCTGATTTAAGCAACAGCAAAATCCATCATTTAATCTACTAAATTTATATAAAATGACATTTAAAAAAATTTATTAAGTTATCCACGAAGCTACTAGTGTTGGCAATTCCGAGATGCTCCAACTATTACTACAACACAGATACTATCAAAGGTATATCAAGGAAATGAAGTCTATTCCCCAAATCCTCAAAGCTATACACGAGGTTTTAAAATTCAGTTAGACGATTTGATTATATTATTTCCTTTTATTATCTTCCTTTTTTCTTTTCCTATTTTTATAGAAATCAATTATTCCTTTCTTATATTTACTGATTATTATTTTATATTTTTTTGATAGGCTCCCGATTTTTACTTCGAAATAAAATGGGAATTCTCCAGTCTAAGTAATGAATATTCTGTTTTTGTAATCGACTATTTTCATATTTTATTAAAATCAACGAAAAATTCAATCATTAATATGACTTATTCGAGAAATTTTTTTTCTAAAATTATAGCTTATAATTTTTTTCTTCTTTCTCTCTCCTAAGTACCCCTAATATCAAAACTATGTCCTAGCGATACGTGCAATGTGTGGAAATCTGGTAACCTTATATTTTTTAAAGCTTATACATTATATATTATATTTTTTTAAAGCTTATACATTATATATTATATTTTTTTAAAGCTTATACATTATATATTATATTTTATAATATATATTCTATTTTTCACAAATAATGCACAGGTCCAAATGTAAGAATCGATTCAACCCTAATAGACTTTTACGAACAAGGAATAAATAGGGGCAGACGTTCTTACCTATTTCATGGCACTGGTAAAAAAAAATTAATTGCACAAATTACAAAAATTAATTAATGTATTTTTGATTATAAAGGTGCTGAAGCAAAATTTATAGAGCTTGATCATGACAAGAAAACTATATCCACCGAAATATTCGAGATGGGCCTTCCCCTGGAGACTATAGAGTTGGAGCTCATGAAACCTCACCCTAATCACGTTAAGCAACGCTTGCAAAACCCTATAATGACAACCTATCTGGATGTCGATAATATCCGTTTTGAAAGGTTATATTACTACACTTCCGGGAAAGTATTTTAAAAAAATCAGGAAGATATAAAAAAATATTATAGATTTCAATAAAATAACATTATTAAATATATATAAAAAATTTATACTATAAATTAGTTATTTATTTTATAATTTATCAGACTACATATGTTTCATACCATAATTGTATATGTGCGTTCTATCGAAATATAAAATCTATACATAATATATGTTTCAACTGTAACAACAAAATTACATATTATATATGTATTGGAAAAAAATTTATATTCAGAAATAAAGCTGGTTTATGGGGATGGAGAAATGAAAAGATCGAGAGCATCAATGGTTATGAATGCAAAGTTTTATTACAAGAGATATTTTTTTAAAATGATATTACTACATTTATCGCTTTTGCTTTTTGTTTTTTGATATTCCACGTGGAGTTGTGGAGTTCTGCAATGGGCTAGTACCAGTCCGTTCATTGTTATTATGATTTTTTTTATTACATTGGGTTTGTAATTAGTCTCTTTTTTAAAAAGAAAATTTTTTAACTTAAAATCAAGTAAATAATTATTTATTTAATCTATTCATCGATTTCTAAATTTATTTTCTTTAAAGGTTTACAACGCCCTTAACGTTGAGCTAATCACTAAAACCAGGCTAGAACATTTGGCCGATTCGAATGGGGTAAAAAAACTGAGCAATTATTTTACTTCCAAAAAACGAACATCAAACGACCCTCTCCTTTCATCGTCAACTAACACGAACTCTAATTCGTCTAATCACGCTACGTCGTACAATCAAAATCGTTTAAATAATTTAGTCGGTAATCATGATTTAGAGACCGGCCATTGCTTTATGTCTTCGATACCGCTTGTTAATTCGTTTTTTGGGTTCAAAACTGTATCTGATACCACGAAAGACGAAGCAACCACCGCCATAACTGATAGCTCCCCCAAAATTTATCTAAATGATTCCAGGCAAAGTTTATATCATTTTTTTAGAAACAATAGCCGGCTTATTTTTAACCATTCAAGCAAATTATTATTATTACCAAACGCCTGTTTAAAAATCGAGCTCTCATAATTTACGAAAACCATAATTTTGATTTATATTATATTATCATTATATATGTAATGAAAGAAAAACTATGCTACCAGTTCCCCGATTTATTATTAATTTGAAACATTTAAAAATTAGTTAATCTTTATACATTTAAGCAGAACACTGGTAATAGGTAATAACTAGCAAAATATTTGATTTCATAGGTGACAATACGTCATATGTATCGCCCACTTTCTCTATTAAATCAAGCCATAAAACGCACGACAAAACCGATGACATAAATAGTGTATAATATTAATTTTTTTTAATATTATGTTTTTACATAGTTTACTTACCCTCTAAATATAATTTTTAGTAAAAGATTAATAAATGATAATATATAAAATTATATATTCCAATCATAAATTTAACTATTATTATTTATCTTTATTCAGTGCAATACAACGAAAGATTCAGTCAAACTTAACAATCGTAAAGCCAAATTTTCATCTCTCGTGAGAAAATCGATGTCATCTACAAACGGTAGCCCTGCCAACGAGAAAAAAGTCATCAAATTGCCTTCACCCGGAAGCGACGTGTCTTGCCGAGTACAAGATGCCACGAATGATGAAATAAATCTTTATCCAATATTCGATGAAGAAATCAATAATACTGGCAAAGTAACTCAAAGATCTGTTCAAGCAAAAAGTTGCGAGCCTTTAAACTATACATATATACCCGAATTATCCACCGATTTAGAGAATGGCTACGATGATATTTTTTTAATAAAAGATAAAAGCCTAGAGGAGTTGAATAATATAAAAATCAATGGTGAAATAACCGATAATTTAGTGAGTGCGATAGTTGCCGCAGGATTAGAGCCACCTCCCTGTATAAAAGCGCCAAAAAAGGAATCGAGCAAAGAAAGCATCGAAGAGGATATATTTTTGGATTGTCAGGAGGATGTCTTTGAGATAAGCCCTTCTAATTTATCCAAGAGCAAGGTCAACTCGATTCCGCAAAGCGATACATCATGCGCTAATGCATTCTGCAATCGGGCCGGTTTAACCATGGATCAATACTTTTTCCCTTCATTTAGTTATCACGATTCGACTCCCGAATCCAACAAGGAAACGGAAGTCAAATTTGGTAGAAAAACTAGCTTATCCAATTTGAATTTTAAAAGTGCAATTACCTTCAATAATTCAAACTTACCCGAGAGGAGCGATTCGAGTGGAAATACGGCTGGGGATATTGGAAGAATTAGGAAAGAGATAGTTAGTAAATCACAAACGTTTAAGGCCACCTTGTGGCTTTCTGAAGAATGTCCGTTATCTTTGCAAGATCAGGTTAACCCTGTATATATATATATCATAGTCTACACTGTAATTTAATGTAATACAGGATTGCATTAGTTTATCAATGGAATCTTAATAAATCTTTTTTTGAAAAAAATATTTAAAGTTAATTTGTGCAGTTGAGCATAATTATATGACCATTATTTGATTATTTATACTTAAATCAAATTTCAATTCGAGGCAGAAACAACAAAAAATTTATAGAATTTTAAAACTTAAAATGATCTCAATAATTATTTATTTTAACGAAACTTAAATATTTGATCAAAATGATTTGAACATTTTTTTTAATTGCTATTAATAAAATAAAAAGTTTATTGGTTAATATCATGAATATATTTTTTATTAGGGAATATATTACATAATATGTTAAATTAGAAAAAAAGATAATTTAACAAAAAACATTTCGAATGTTTAAATTATTTAATTCAACAAATTTTATTAAAACCCTCAAAATTTAAAAAAAAAATCTTAGTTGGTTATGTTACCTTAATTGAGATTGATTAAGAATTCAAATTTATATTTATTTCATGCTTTTAAAATATATTTTATATAATTTGAGATTTTTTGTGATACGCTAGGATAATATGGAATACTAGTAAATACTACGATATTTCATACCAATTATTTTTTTTAGTATAATCAATATATAAAATATTTTGTATAACTCAACAAGATGAATTTTAATAATTTATTTTTTAAAAAAAATATTCAGATCCTTCCTATAATAGATCTCATGCCTAAGAGCAACGCTCACTTTTCCAAATTGAAAGAATTTATAACCCTTCAATTACCTCCTGGCTTCCCAGTTAAAATCGGTGCGCGTTTTATTTTGTTATTTTTGTAAATCCATTAATAAAATGGGATTTATTTTAGAGATTTACCGCTTTCAATTTTTTTTTACTGGTACTCGACATCTTTTTTTTTAAAAAAAATTATTTGCATAGGATCAATACTGGATTTTATAAAATAAAAAAAAATATTTGTGAATTAGCTAATACCTAGAATGATATTAATTTAATTTAATTCAAAAAAAATAAATTTAATTTAATCTAATAATTATTCATCAACAAAATAAAAATTTTAATTTAATTTAATTTTTTTATATATTTATTATAAACATAATATTTATAATATAGCTCATTCATTTTTTTCTTCTTCTCCAGTTAGCTTCACATAAAAATATTATTACTCATTTTAAGATTAAACTTTATTTTAAATCAAATTTAAAATCATTTTAACTTAACTAAACTGTTAAGGTTTTAAATTTCAATAAATTATTATATAACCAAATTAGTGTTGAAAGGTGTTTACACGAATTCAGGATATTAGTACCACCGCGAAAATATAAATGTTAATTTTTTAGATAATGTTAATGAATACTTAGCATGTAACAATTGAATAAATAATAATGCGGAACGTGGAACGAAATGAAACCAAACTTAATTTTTTAAGCAGAGAAGAACAAGAACGCAAAATTTTATTTGTTCCGGATCCCTAGAATAAATATTACTAATCGACTATATTCAATATATTAGATGATTATTTTTTGATATAATAAATAATTTAAAATTAATGCACAGAAAATATTAATAAAATTCCAAAATTATTAGTTTTTAATAAAATTTATTTTTTAAAAAAATATCCACTTTCATTTTTTTGTGTGTTGTAAAGGTAACCACCAATGTTTATTAATTTCTCAAATATGTTTTTTAAATGATGTTAAAATGAGTGAATATATATTTTTTTAAGTAACCAGTTAAGAACTGACTGCAAAACCGACCTGTTACAATTAATAAATTTTTAATCAGTTTATGAAACCCCCTCCAAGTTGTCCTAAAGTTCCTTTTGTTATAAGGGTTTTCTCTAAGATTTTATTTTAATCGAACATTTTTCTTGGGAGTTATTTATTTACCACTTTATTAATTTAAGACAAACATTTGATACCCTAGGGAAAATTCTTTATAATTTAATTTATAATGCAGCTACACTTTTTTTTCAAATTTAAATATGGTTGCAATTCGCTAAGTCTGAGCAATGAACACCTTTTCATTTGGAATCATATTTTTTGCCTAAATTGGACACGTGCTTCATTTTAATAAGGTTTAATATAATAACGAAAAAAAAGAATGGCAAATAAATAATATTCATGAAAGTAAGCTAAAATATTACTCAAAAGCCGTTTTACTGAGATAATTAAAAATATATTAAAAAGCAATTATTATATAAAAATAATTATGATATTGATCAATTATTAGTTTGACACATATACATTTTTCATATTTATTTTATTTAAATTTAGAAATTCCTTTGTTTCACATTTTAAACGCGCGCATAACGTTTTGCAATATATGTGCTAAAGACGAAGACGTTTACGGGGTCTGCAAAATAGTAGACGATTCTGATGTCAAAGGAGGACGGGTGTCTTGTATAATTGATTCTTGCGTTTTTCAAGTCCCTCTCGATTACAAAGATAAAAGTTTTTTCAACCTTTTCGTTTTTCTATATTTCTTTTTATAATCCATTCCTTCTTATTTGCAACACGTTAACCTAACTTAAAAAAAATATTTAGACGGTTATTACCCATCCTCCCTGAACTCTGCCTCCTTAAACGGGTTTACCCATACAGACAAAAATTTTAACAATATTACCAACACAGATACTTATTTCCTTCCCAAACATAACACTTCTATATTAAATCGGGGCGGAACTTCTAACGATATCGACGCTGAAAACGCTTTGTTACAATACGCGATTCAGCAGAGTCTCATCGACGAAGGGACCGAAAACGATAAGGTTACAGTCTGGGAGGCACTTAAGAAAGAGAGCCCAAAAAATGTAGATCATCAAAATGGGCCATGTGACGATGCCTCAGAACAAAAAATGTCAAGAGAAAGTGATAGGTTATTTTTTTTCATTCAAATGAATGATTGGACCTTTCAATATTAAAAAATATTGGATATATTTTAGTGATTTAAAATGCTATTTTTTTAGTGACCAAATAAATACTCAACTCAAAAATCCAAATCTCAACATCAATTTAAATGGCTCTTCTAGTTCTAGCTCTATAGATGAAGTATAATTTAAAAAAATTGTTTAATCTATAAAAAAATTTTTTTACTTATCCTTAGGACGAACAAATGAAAATAGCCATTCAAATATCCAAGAAAGAGTTGAAAGATAAAGAAAAAAGGGACTCTTACTTTAACGAAGAATTTGAAAAAATTTTACAGCTTTCTTTACTTGAAAAATGATGTCATAATATATTTTATACGCTATATTTATTTTTTTAGAAATATTTATTATAATATACAAAGCAAATTATTAATTTATATGTAAGATATAATATAATACTATTATAGACTATTACTTATACAATATTTTTTTTTATAATAATGCTTTTTTAAAAAAAAAATTTATTAAATTTATTAGTGCATTAAATAAAATTCTAGAATGATAACATTTATAGCCTATTCAAAATGTAATAATAATGCAGCAAGCGATAACATAATAGTGACTTAATCAAATTTTAAATAATAAAAGTATACATCCATTTTTTTGAAATATAGAAAGAAAGAAAGTAAAACTTCAATCCATATCTATGTTTTGGTTGGATCAAGATAAACAATTCTCAGAGTTGCTAAAGTTTCTATATATAAAATGTGGTATCTGTATTTTTAGAGATATGAGGTATTTGTATCTGATGCTTTTTAAGATACATTGTAGTCATTTTATTTCATACGAGCATATAATTTAAATATTATTAAAAATTATTAAGACTAATAAAATAATATAATATTAAAACTCCCCCCTCCCCATTGAAATTTTATCGCAAGATTGTGAAGGATTTTTATTGTAAATGAATATATAAATGCTTGCCATTAATTATTTTAAAAAACCATTGATGCACAAAATTTTTTAAGAACGATTGTTACATCTAGACCTAACTATATTTTGCATCATTAAGGCTAACATCAAAACTACAATTTTTGTGAATGAAAAAATCTGTCATATTAAGCTAATATAGTTTTATTGAATTGTAGAAGAGAAAATTTAATTTTAAGATAAAAAATTAATATTTATTCTTATTATAAAGTCAATAAGAATTTTTTATGTTTTATTGACTAGAAAATATTATACAAACAATTTTCATTGCATAGTAAATTTATGTAAAATATTAAATTATATATAATATCAAGAAATCTCATTTCTTATACTGAGATTGGAATGGGTTAGCATATAAAGCCGGTGAAGCTGGGACAGAATAATAAAAGGGTTTAATTTTAACGCCATATTGTTTAAGTATTTCTGGAACTATCTGAACACCTGGCACCGGATGTGTGCTGACGACTGGATTTAGTGTTTTAACTTGATAATTATAGGGTAAGTAGCCGAAATCATGAACTAAAGTGCTTTTAATATAGGGTTCCAAAGTTTTTAAAGTGAGAGTTTGAGGGACTACATCCATTCCTATGACCTTCTTTTCAATAGGAGTCAATTCGTATCCCCGGATCTCTTTAAGGGTAGCTTGTAATCTATAGTAACTTACCAAGTTTTCCACAATTTCCGGTTGCAAAACTTTCATTACATATTTTTGTATCTCGGGTTGAAGTGTCTTAAGCTTGTAAAGGAAAGGGGTTGGTATCAATTTTTCAATCGTCTTTAAAGTAGGTTCTATACTCAACCCTTTATATTGATATTGATAAGTCTCGGGACTACACCCTGGAACCAATTCTGTCGTTGGAATTTTAACTAACTCTTGGTGGATCTGCTCCTGGGGAACTATACGCACACTTTTGACAGTATTAACAAATGGCACAGCTTGAATTTGTCGATATTGTTGATTATATATCTGTGATAACTGTGGAATAATAAATTGGTTGATGTAGGCAGGATCTATATTTGGAATTGGACCTAATAACCCATTGGGGCCTGGATGTACATTTGGTTGATCTGGATGTACAAAAGTTGGTTTATTGAGTGCTGGAAATACATTAGGATCGGATCCACCTTGATCATCGTGTGTAAGATCACGTTTAGCATATTTTGCGTATCTATAATAAGGTGTTGCAGATCTTGCAGATCTGTGATATAGTCTTACATATCTATAATAAGGTGTTGCAGATCTTGCAGATCTGTGATATAGTCTTACATATCTGTAATGAGGTGTTGCAGATCTTGCATTTCTATAATAAGGTCTTGGTCTAATAGATCTTTCGTGCCGTTCGCTATTTCTTTTGGTTGGTAATCTTTGAAAACGATTGCTCGATTGTACGTTTGATAATGCTAAGTTGGCTAGCTGTTTATTTATAGCATCGATAAATATTTGGAACCTATTTAGCCGGTCAGTAAGTGCAGGATCGTTTTGAGCGGTTCTACCTGTAATAATTGAATTGGCTTGTTTGTTATTATTTGAAAAGATTGATGGGCTATTTGTATCTAGACTTGGTTGAATGGAACCTAAAAGCGGAGGTATCAAGATTTTCGAGGCAATTAAGGCTTTCAATTTATTTGAAGAGTCGCTCTGGTCTTGTGATTGCGATTGCCTTATTTGAAACTGGGTTTGCTGAAAAGAAATACTTAAAAAGTTAACTAACACCAGAGTAAATAGAGTTTTCATATTTATTTTTTTAAATAATTTAAAATAAAGATTATACAGTTTAACTAATTTTTTAATAATGATTTTTAACAAATAATAATGATGATATCTTCAAAAAAGTTTCCTATATATATGTTAAAATTTTCATAATTCAAATTTTTATAATTTTATAATAAAATTTCATTTTTTTCAAATTATAATTTTTTTTTGAAAAATTTTAATGTAAAACTTGAAAAAAAATTATGAAGGACATTAAATATAAAAAATAAAAATAAAATTTAACCCTTTTCAATTTTTCGAAACTTTATTCTAATCGTAAAATATTTTTCACAAAAGTTTCGTTCGAGAAAAATTAAGTCCAAAATTTTATAAAATTTTGAATGAAACTTGTCGAGATTTATGATGATCATGATAATTTTAAAATGTAAAAAATTATTTTTTATTTACAATTTTTAAACAAATTTTTATTTCGTCGTTCTCGTTAGTTATCATTTTATAAATTTTTTTAACTCTTTATTTTCATATTATGACAATCTTAAAATTTATATTTATAAGTTATTAGAAAAAAAAGAAGTTAATTTGATTGTGCTTCATCTTACTTAATAATCATTTTTTTTGAAAAATCTTTTGCGATTTAAATTATTTGATGACAACAAAAATATATAAAAACTTAATTTTATTAACAAATTTTTATAAGTATAAAATAAATGGTAAATATCTAATTAATTGCAAGTTGCAACTATTAGGGTATTTGTGAGGGAGGGGAAAACGCCGATTATTGAGTCAAAATTTTCTATGAACGCGATAGAAATTTTTTATATCCTAGCAAAACATATCAATTGACCTTGAACTCTATAATTACATTAAATTGATCAATCTTGGATATTTTTGTATTTTATTTATTCTATCTACTTTTTTGGGGAAAATTAAATCAATATAAATTTTAAAATATTTTTGTCTAGTTTTTTCTGAATTCTCTAAAATTGACACAATGCTAGATAACCCCACCCTTTGTTTTTATAATGCTAGAGGGGGGGGGCAATAACTTTGTTAGAATATCATGTGGAAAATGGAGATTGAATATCCAGAAAAATTTTTTGCCAAAAAGTGTATTCATATTTTATTTTTTATAAAAATATAATTAAATTAATTATTCTTTTATCCTTATTGCTTGTTTATTAATTTATATAGTTTTTCAGGTTCATTAATTTTATTTGCATATTGTGTCAAATACTTTTCATTCGATGGGGTGAGTTTTTACTTTTATATTAGATGGGAGATTTCGTCGATATATCCAACGGAACTTCTTCCCATTTTATTAGAGCATCGAGGGTTTGCATTAGAGGTCTGCAATGGTGGTGTTTAGACAAAATTCCCACCCACTCGTTGTTTTGAAATTTTTTTAACCTCCACTTATAAATTTTTTAAAAATATTTATCCGCCCGCCAACAGCCCAATGTTGAATATATTATAGAAAACTCGTCCACGCCCGTCTGGCGGGCTAAAACCTCGCCCATTGCAGACCTCTAGTCTATATCCTTTCCTCATATTATCTTATTTTTACTTATAATGAAATGTAATATTTTTCTGGATCTGATTATATTTGATTATTAATTAAATCTGATCTCTTTATATATATTCAAATTTATCATTATTTAGATTGATTTATTGAAAAAATTTACTATATAAACCTAAAAGATTTTTTTATATTATATTATATAATTTCTTTTGTTTAAATATAAGTAAATAAGGATAACCAAATTTAATTTCACTTGTAAATATATTTCCTTTGCAAGATTATTGGATCGTGAGTTTTCGAACATGACTCTTTATTATCACTCAAATGTGAAATATGTCAGTATTGACCACCATAATCAAAATATTAGGTCCGAGACCGCTCGGGGACCATCGACAAAATTTTTCCATAAAAAACTCAAATTATTTATTTGATCTATAGTTTATATTAGGCATTAAGATCAATTATTCAGCAATAAATTTGATAACTTCATGATGTTTATCTAGTTTATTTTTTATTACAAAATGGACCTGAAAATGAAATATTTTCCACTATCCAATTTACTTAATTTTATAAATTGTGATATTCAATCAAGCAATAAATGATGAATAGGAAGGAAATATAATATTAATATTTTTTTAGGCTATGAGCCGGGCATACATTTTATTGGTGATATTACATCTGGCCCGGCCATGCAAAACTCTATATATCAGCTTCATAAAGTTAGTTTTAAAAAATTAATATTGCTAATGTTAACAATAATTATATATGATAGAAAATATTGAATATTATTTAATCCGGCTTTCTTTAAAAATAAATTCATATAAAACATAATTTTAAATCCAATTATGAGCATTTATTTATCAATACTTTGCATCTGGAGAAAAGGAGATGTAAATTCATAAGAAAATCGAACTTCGGCTTTCTTATGATTTTAATTACTAACCATTAATACTAATATTTTTGATATCATTTTGAAATTATATCCCTTTTTTTGTAAACTAATTTAACAATGACGGTCCTAAAATTTTAAGATAATTTAGAAGATTATTTTTTATAGAGATCTTGCTTCGGTATCTCAATAGATCGAGAGATTGCCCGCGACCCAGCCCGAACCAAAATTTTTTTTAAAATGGGTCTACAAGGGCCTAAACTGATTGAAGACGTAAAACGCATTAATCAAGCCTTTATATTGTTATAAATTTTAAAATTACATCTTCCAAACATTTGACTTTAAGCTTATGAAGTGACATCACAGCGTTTATTGCGTATAACTTAGTTTTGTGACGCCAACATAGATTGAGAAAATAAATCAGGTACTAAATATTGGGGCAACCCTTATGCTTTGATATTTTTAGTTCAGGCTTAATGCCAATTTTATTTATAACATTTTTCTTTAGAGATTAAAGCAATTAAATTTACTAATTAAGCAATAAATATTAGAATAAGTTTCAGGATTAGTACTAGTCAATTTTTAAGCCTGAAGTTGACTAAAATTTTGTTTTATATGGATAATTTCTTTTACTAGTTACTAAAGGGATTGAATCACTATAGTTGACACTAAATATGAAAAGTTTTATAGACTAGTTTTTCTTATCGTAAGGCTTACTTCATGGAGCTGATGATATATAGATGAAACCTGGGATAAGTGACCATGTCTTTGCTCGTGGCAGCTTAGATTTAAAGACTGTTTTAGTCAAGTAAATTTTATTTGAATGTGTAGCCAATACATTATTTTATAAAATAAAATTAGTTAAAATCAAAAATATCACATATAGTTTATGTTATTGACTGGTCATACTACTTTATTTAAACAATTTTTCAATAATGTGAAATATAAAGGTATATAATATATTCAGACATATCCCCAAGTCCACCCTAAACTCTTATTTTTATCTGAACCCGAACTCAAAACGATATTTGTTTTGGTTCAAGTCTCCTGGATTAAATTAATAAAGTTTCGAATTTATAAGTATTAAAACCTATAATTACAAATATTTTAAATATTATATAAAAAGGAATAATAGTAAAAAATATAAAGTTAGTAAGTATAATTTTCATTAAGATTATGGCCACTTATTACCTTTCTATTTATCATTAAAAGGTCCTTTATATACTGATAAATAATAGTGCTGTAAAGTAACGTCAAAAAAGTAACGTCGTACCTTTTTTTAAGAAAAGGAACGTCATTCGTTATCTTCTTCCAGAGGTAACGAGTAACGGAACGCGTTACTTTAAATTTTCTTAAAAAATATTATAAAAAGAAAAACATATTTTATTGTACTATAAAATTACTTTTATTTATTTTTTAATATAAATAATTAAGCTGAGTATTTAATTCATATCCACCACTATTCCTTTATTTTTATTTTAAATTCTCATTGTTAAATTTTCAGTCTAATACATATCTTTCAAACTTTTATTTAAACCAATCTTATCCCATATCTCTCTAACCTCTTATCCTACTCTTTATCCTTGCCTCAGTTATTACATTTTTTTAACTTTATATTTCTGCGAATTAAAAAAAATTCCGAAAGTAAGCATACAAAAATAAAACATATTTATGATTTATCAACATGATGAAATATTTTTTAGTATAATAAAAAAAAAAATCTTGATTATTTAATCAAAAAACACAGTATGAAAATTGAGGAAGCTAAGAAATTTCCCTTGCGTTACATCACTAGATGAATACTTGTGAGAAGTGACGTGAAAAATATTATGGAAGTGAGGTTGACCCTTGACTCTAAAATAATGTAATCTCGAATTTAACAAATTTTAAATCAATAATTTTTAATATAGATTTTTCCCGCAATTTAAGAGACGAACTTAATATAGCATACGAAGCTGAGATTGATACCAATTGGAGAAAATGACTGTTACCAACAAACAACTCACTTTTATGTAATAATAATAAAGAGAAGAAATAAAAAAATAATTTTGCATAATAAATAAGATTGGTCTTTAAAAAAATCCAAAATCGATGGTAACGAACGGAAGGTATCAGCATTTACAAAAATATTCAAGTATGAGTTCATAATTGGCAAAAAAAAATCTGGAATCGTGAATTTCTAAGACACTGAACAATACCGCCGATATTATTATATGTAAAAAATTGTTTTATTCATAATTTTAGAATGATAAAGAGGCGAGATCGTTTAATATTGCACAGAATAATAAAAAATGGATATATATAGTAATGTATATATAATAAAAAATAAATAATCACCAAATCTAATTATTGTTAATATAATTTGTTTTTAATTAAAAAATTTACGATACATTATTATAATATTTTGTAAATAAATTATTTATCTTTATATATGGCAAAAAGAATTATAATGTAGTTATTTTATATATTAAGCGATTACGATATTTTTTGTGCAATAAAAATTGTTAATTTGTAAGAATCAACGATACGAACCCGTATTCAGGGATTAAAAACATAAATATTATGGTTTTTGAAACATTATAATATGTTCATATGGGATTTTTATATTTCTTATGAAAAAATGATTAGTGTATTATAAATAAATACAGGTTTAATAAATAAGTGATTTGATTGGTTCAAAAAAAAGTAAACAAAATAAACTATTATCAACTTTCTAAAAGAAATAGTTTCTAATAAATTGACAATTATTAAGATATTTTAAAAAACGGGTTTAAACTAATTCAGAAAATTTATAAAGGTTCGGGTTCGCTCCTTTTAAAATTTGCTATAAAGGTTCGGGAAATTATAAAGGTTTGGCCATCACTCCTGATCTTTGGTAAAAATATTATTAGCTAACTGACATATTCATAATTAAATGTAAAATCTAATATATTGTATATAAGTGATGTTATTTAACGATGATATTTAACTCCTATTATAAAATGCGAGTGAGAATTATTTCATTTTAAACATATATTAAAATAGATTTGTATTTTTAATACGAATCACACCGGCAAATTATATTCGGTGGATCGTCGATCCCGTTGATTAGTATTATCATCGTTCAACAAATCTGTGTCGGATATTCGCTTTCGATTCCCAAGGGCCCCGCCCAACTCGCTGATAACGCTAATTGACGATTTATGGCCACCATTTTTAGGATTTTTGACATGAAGACTCCTGGTTTCGGAAGGAAACACTCTATTATCCTTGCTTCCACCCCCTCCAGCCATGGGCAGGAAAACACTCGAACTCTGAGATAGTGATGGGATAGAACTTTTTTTCCTCTGTTTGTTGTGACTTTGCTCCTTTTCGTCTCTCATGTCCAAAATTCGATATATTGAGAGTCTCATAACGTTTGGTATTTCCCTGGGCTTAAGGCATGAAAGATCCATGATATTTACAGTCTTTTCGTCTTTGTTGGTGTCATCGCTGGTTTTTATCGCATTGTTGGTACTGAAAGAAGTGGTTGATAATACATTTGAAGTATTGGCATAATTTTTTGACGTACCTTCGATGTTTTGTTGTTGTTCATCAAAGTTGTAAGATCGAGAGGAATTGGAATGGGTGGATGAGGAATTAGATGAATGTTCGTCACCTTTCATCCAATCCTTGATTGGGAATACGAAGTTTGAATCATGTTGGGAAGTTTTGGGTAGGTTACCCTAAAATAAAAATAATCATCATTAAGTGATATTTTATATATTATACCTTTAAAAATTTAATTTAAAATATTAAAAATCGATTAAAGGCAATAATGTATAACATAAAATCAAATCCGCCCAATAAATTTTATTAAACATACTACTATTAAAATCATTATGTTGATAAACATAACATTAGAATTTCAATTGTAGCCATTTATAAAAAGTATTAGCACTAATGCTACTATACAATAATATTCTTCTTTTGTAAGTACCTGCTTAACACAAGAAGGATTGAAATCGTCAATTAATAATTTTCGAAACTTATTTTGTGGAAAACATTTAGTTTGAAATCTAATAGTAGCATAGAAGTGGGAGGGGGGGGGGGGTCAACCTCCCCCCCCGTCATAGCTCCCGTTAAAAACAATTAATTATAAATTTAATAATATAATTTATATTGTTAAATATCTATTACAGAGTTTTCTATTCAAAAAAGTAAAAGTGTCAATCATAAAAGGAAAAGGTTCGATCAAAAAAGGTAAAATGCCAATCAAAAAAAAAGGAAAATGATATTTTGCCTTACAAGAAATTTTGTTGGTACTCTTTGATTACAACAAATAGTGGAATGCAGAGTATCGTTTTTCAACCATCTTAAATTTATTTAAAAATACTTATATTTCCGTTCTAAGATGACACAAGCAGGATTGATTAAATTAAACGCATCATTACTAGCTTATTCGAATAAAAATGATTAAAAAATCTATAAAAATGAATTATTGTTATTTGACTTAAAAAAAATTAATTAATTTTTAGTTTACTGTTTTTATAGATTTTTGATTAAAAAAAAATAGATATATTAAGTAAAGGAAAAAATATAGTGTTGAGAAGATGGAGATGAGAAAGTAGAGATGAAAGTTAGGTGTTAGTAAAAAAACACAATTTTAAAAAGTGAGTGTATTTTACTAAGAAGAGGATTAGAATAGGTTTATCAAATCGGCACAAATGTAATTTTTAATGGACTAAGATGATTTTGTCGACAAGGAAAGAAGAAAAGTTAATTAATACGTATACTATAAATTCGTGAATGGTATCGATATCTATGTTTTAAAAAAAGACTGGAAGAAATATCTAGACTAATATTAAAATATTTTCCTAAGGAATAATAAATAATTGAGTTAAGACTTTAAAGGAAATATATATTTTTCATAAAAACCGCCAATTCTCAATTTTCACACAGGTTTGCCGACCATTTTAAAAAATATTTCACCATAAACATTTCCCCTTTTTCAAATATTGTGCATATCTCTCATCTTCCAAACTTTTAAAGCATTTTATATAAATGTTGTACGAAAAAAAAGAGAAAAATCTAACCTTTGAGGTCTTCTGTTCAATTAAACGGGCAAGGTTACGCCTGAATAGCTGGACAGTTTTAACGTATTCTCGGGGCTCGACTTTAAATGCCAGTCTTTCTAGTTCAGCATTTTCGAGTTCCGTCATGTAAGGAAGTTCCGAGGCTTGAACCGGGTCATCGATGGCTGATTCCGAAATGTTGTTTATTATGGATAGGTTTGATAGGTGGTCTAGTGGCCCGCCTATCTCTGGACTAATTATAAAAAGGTTGGTATAAATTACACAAAGTATGTCAAATTGTAACCAAAAAATCAGAGACCTGCAGAGGTATCTATTTACAGGACAGACCATATCGGGGTTCAAAGTTTAAGATAATAGTTAGTTGTGCAGGTCTCTAGTATTTATTATTATATGTATAAACTTTAGAGAGGTACGCGCAGATGAAAAGGCGGAAGAACGTCTCCTAGACGAGATAGAGGCTCTACCCCCCTCCAATTTCTGGTTAGATGTCGCGAGCCAAGAATAATCCACCCTATGTGGCGTCGGGACGTTTTCTGATGTTAAAGAATCTCTAGACGCATTGAGGTAATCACTGTCGGTGGAATGTCTATGCGTATAAGTGGGATTATTTTCAGAGTCATTATTTTGTAGAGAATTGGATTTGATATGTTTCTGGGCATAACAAAGTTCCATGTAATGCCGCACTTCGGATAAAAGAGCGTCGCTAACTACACCCTCAGGATTTTCTAATAATTTCTTTTTTTTCATTAAATTTATTTATTTGAATGTTCAAAATTCAACAAAAATAAGTTTAAAAAAAATACTTTTTCAAGTTATACATCATTTCCTTTATTTATGGTGATCAAAGGTAAACATTTTTTCACAAAATAAATCAGTCAATTCAAATATCCAAGATGACCATCTCCATATCTTGTCTCTTTAGTCCAAAAAACCCTCACTTTCAAAATCTAATTCAAATATCTATCAAAATGTTATATATATCCACTAGTTCTTTCGGCCTCTTAGGCAATTCTATCATGGACTTAAGCTTTATCAGTCGTATTTAATTTATTTTTTAAATATTTTTTTTTCGGCCCCTCTTAATTCGGGTCCTCATCTCTTTTTATTTGTAGTTTTACCATCTAAGTATATCGCTTTTTAGGCACACATAGGGTTGTTACCTGGCATATTTATGGAAATTCCAGGGAATATTTCCTGGGAATTAATAAGGGAAAATGAATATTCCCAGTTTTTTAAATATTTTTAGAAATAATTAAAAAGAAAAATTGAATCCTTTTTCTTATAAATAATCATGAAAGATTTTAATAATCCAGGCTGGTCCAGGCCTAAAATATATGTGTAGGGCTGGATCGATTTTTAAAAAAATTGCATGGTGGACCATTTAAACACCATAATTACCATCGCAGTCTATAAGATTTTTCAGCAGATTTCGTTAATCTCTTCGACTTCACAATTTCATCTTATATATCTGGGTAAGCCTATTCAAAAACAAATACGAATCAAATAATGAATTTTTCGTATTCGATTTTTTTGAATGAATTGAATAATTTACTTATGCGTAATTATATCGATCGAATAAGAAAAGCATATTTTATTATACACGCGTATACGAATAGTAAATTATTCGATTCGTTCAAAAGAAACGAATAAGAATAATTTATTATTAGATTGGTATTCATTTTTGCAAGTCTAATCTGGGATCGTAATAAATCCTCAACACACCATCCTTCATTTTCACTTAAGTATTACATTCTCCTTTGATGTGTTTCGTCAAATTTTTATTCCTACAATTTTACAACTTTTCCTTAAATTTGAGGATCTTAATTAGGATTCTGAAAAAACTGAAGAACGAGAGTAACAACATTTATTTTTACATTCATAAACAAATTAGAATTCTTTCATCATGAAGAAAAAAGGAAATAAAGAAATTTTGCTTCATATTTTAAAAAAATAAGAGGTTTTTTTATGTTCGAGTGCTTACAAATTGGCACTCACTACAGTTTCCCACTTTAACTGCCAGTGCAATAAACAGGAAAAAAGGATACCGACGCCATACAATATCTATTCTAGGGCGTTAAAATCGGCTAATATCCCGTGCATTCTACAGCCCCTCGGTTTATCTGAAGAAAAAATACCAACAATTTGAAACTTATCATTTGGGGGAAAGGGATGCACCATTAGTCTGAAATTTGACACATTTACTTTACCAAATTCAATTACCCCCACGAAGAAAATCTACTTTCAGATGTAAAAAAAAGTATAACAAAATAAATATTTTAAACCAAAATTATCTCTAGCCAAAATATAACCTGAAAATGTCAATAGAAAAAAAAATCCATTTTAAGCCCTGTCCGGAGTTTTTAAAATTATTTTTCCAGCCCAGTATTTTTAATATTAAGGTCCGGATTTTGGATCCTTTTAAGACCCGGTTAGGCATAAATTCTTTAAAATTTTGTTCTTTTGAATAATTTAACTGTGTATCGTAAATTGTTTATAAGGGAATTGGAAATTATTTACGATAAGTTCCGGAGTCGAGTGCAGATCTTTATTAAATATTTATTTTTTATTAATAAAAAAATGGATGGTTTGGAAGTTTTATCGAGGTAAAATTAAAAAGGTAAAATTGGGGGGAAAATCGATATTCTTAAAAATATAGATTTTTTTAAAGGAGGAGATTTTGTCAAAGGTAAAAAAAAAAATTAAAAAAATAGGGGAATATAAAAGTAATAATAAATATTTTAAATTAAAAAAATAGGGGAATATAAAAGTAATAATAAATATTTTATATATAAAATATTTTAAATGTTTACAATTGAAGCCAATTAATTTGCTAAAGAATGAAAACCGAATTTTAGGAATTTAACAATCTATTTTTAAACGGAATGACAAATTAAATATAACATAAACAAGAAAAACAAAAATGGAAGATGTAATCACAGCCCTTGTGAAGAAATTATTTTGGGATCGATCTTTTTCCTCTTTTATTTTACCATTTTTTCTTTATTGCATTAAACCCTTTCTTTTTTTGAATCTTTTTTTTTAAGATTTCGAGTTTGTTTTAACTTTTTTTTTGTTTGTTTGACTTTTCCCCTTTTTGAGTCGGGTCTAAATTCTAATAAATTCGCGTTAAAATTTTATTTTCAAAGGTGACACAAAATTTAGGAGTTGAGTTTTCGCAAAATTAATGTGTACCACTTAAATTTATTAATTAATCCATCAAATTTTAAAAATTGGAAAATATTGAAAAACAATTTTATTTGCAAAAAAAATAATTAAATATCATTTTTATTTAAAAATTAATTATAATAATCATGATCGCAATAATGAGGGTATGTTAAATTAATTTTTATAATAGATTAATAAAGATATATTAAAAAAAATTATGCTACAATTTTATTTGTTTTTCAAATAGCGAACCCAGCCCGGAGTTGAATCTTTATTTGCAAAATATAAATTATACACCAATTTAAAAAAAAAAATTAAGTCCGAGCCCTGTGCGATTTTCTAAGTATTACTCGGGCCTCATTTAAGTGCGCGAAATGCAACGATAATCGCTTAAGCGATGGTAATTTAGAAAATGGATATCGTCACCTGAGAATTAGAATATTCGATCTCCACTTTTTATAATTTTACAGGAGAGCAATTTTAAAAAAATTAAGTTTCTATTGTTTTCAATAGGATGGTTAACCTAGTATCGGATTTCTTAATGTAAATAGAATGGCATAAGTTATAAAAAATGTTTAAAAGTCATTTTTGACAAAAAGTGGATATAGAATAATTTAATTCTCATGCAACGATATGTTTAATTAAACAAAAGCTATGCTATAGTTTACCGATAAATCACACTTAGCTTTAGAGAGCTCACGGTATTACGAGCTTATTAAAAAGTAAGCCTTACGCTGCTTTTATAGTAAGCGCGATTTGCTCGAGCGATGCGAAATTAATGGCAAGCGAAATCAAAGCTGATTCATCCTGGCTGTAATTCCTAAAATATACGTAAACGGCTCTAGCGATTTCATCATTTCGCTCAGTATTTATAAATTATAGTTATTAATGACTTATGGAAATTACATAATGAAAAATTTCGCGTCTTGAGCGAATCGCGCATATATAGTAAACGCGTTATCTTGAAGTGTAGGTTTAAAAATTAATTAAAACGTTTCGGTTTTGTATAATTCGCAACGAATTCGCGCTAACTATGAATTAGTGGTAAGACTTCTTTCCTATTTTCACTTCACCATATACATTATTTTTGCCTCTCCTCCTCTCTTCCATTGTATTTGGATTTATAATTAATATTGATTTTTTCCCCCCGAAAAATTTCAGAAATAATAAACAGGCTTTTTTGCAATTATATTTTTATATTCTAAATAGTAACATTAATTTCACTTTACCTTTTCAATTTAAAAGTAATTTAATAAAACTTATTAGTTGAGCATAGACCTGGTAAAATCGAAATATTATCAAATACGAATCATTTATTATTCGAATTCATCGAATAATTATAATTCACTATTGTGAAAATTATATATTGGAAAGTTAAATATGATATTGATTGGTAAGGAAGAATGTTTCCATTTAAGCAACCTTTTTTTGAAATGATTGTTAAAAAAATATAAAGTAATAGAATAAACGATATATATATTCAATCAATATTTTATTTGGAATTTAAATAATTTGTTATTGAATTAAATCTTAAATTTAAAAAAATAAATATTATGTTTAAAAGCTTGATTAAGTAACCAAATAAAACTATTAGCAAGGAGCTTAATATAATTCGAGTTTATAATCTGTTAAAATCTTTAATTAGCTCATTAATGCACCAAATACGTTTTCATAAAATATATAAAGGAAGAATACAATAATTTGATATTATATTCTGTGAATTTTTTTTTACACCTGTAATTAAAAATAATTAGTACTACTTATTTATATATTATAATATATATAAGCAAAATTTTATTTATTTTATATATATACAAATTAGTAAAATGCTAATTTCATTGACAAAGAAAAAATATGAGTAAATAAAGCGTTAACATATTTGATTTAAAATTGTATTTATTATATATTAGGATCTTCATCTTATTATATTTTTTAAATAACAAATAATTTTAAAGACTTTAAAATATTTAATGCAGTCTCTTAATGAAGAAGCCCAGTTTAAATTAAGTTGGTGTAAAAAGTGTTAATTAATAATGAATATTTTAGCCCTTTAGTACTCTTGTAAAAAAAATGAAGGTCCGGTAAGATATGACAGACCTTAATTCCAAATTGATATATATATCTCCATTTCTATTCATTTTCTTAATGGCATATTATCAAAAATCATACAAAAAATTTATTTATTATTCTTATTGCTTAGATTTAAAAAAAATGAGGATAATTATAAGATAACTTAGGCCAGAATAAAAGCAGGATAAAGTCAATGGTTTATTCTTCAAATTAAATAGGGGAACTTTTGTAGGGTTTGACAGGACAAATGAATAAAAAAAATTTATACAAAGAATGAAGCCTATTTATTATAAAATTAATCAACCAAAACTAAAAATTATAGTAAAATATCAAAAATTATGCGATTCAAAGGTAATAAATTAAGTTTCAAATTTCATTTTAAAAATTTACAAAAATAATAAATAAACCATAACCCCTCAAATATGCTATATTAAAGCTACATAATTTTTATTCATAAATCAATAGAGGTAAGACAATAGCCAATTCTAATATTTGGTCATAATGGTGCAAAATCGCTTTATTTGAGCCGATTTAAAACTGGCTAACTCAATATTTTAGCCAGGAAAATTTTACCTAAGCCTCGAGATTTCGCAAATAGGTGTCCAAACTTTTGGTGTCATTTATGAATAAATCCACAATTTTTTATAAATATCTAAACCATATGTATGTATATATATATTTATGTTGATAATATTAGACTATCTTTAATAGTTTATTTTTGTTAATTGTATGATTTATTTTTATTTAACAAGAGATGGTTAATTTTATTTATATGCAAGTTACTTTAACAAGAAAACAGATTTACTTTTTTATATCACTATTTGAATATCTTTTCATATATAAAGATAAATAATTATAGAACAAAGATTACTTTTAATTTAATTAAAAAATTGGAATTTTACCGTTATTTAATTTAACAAAGTTACGCTTATAGTGAAGGTCAAGGTCCGGTCTTTGGTCCGGACTGGACCGATATCCTCGGACCGGACCGGACCACGGTCCTTAAAAAAAATCGATCCAGACCGTGGTCCTAAGGCCGGTCCAGGACCGGTCTTTTTATTTGTTTAAAAAACATACTTTTTTAAACCTAATTTAATTTGTTTTATCATTTTATTAAATATAAGAGTATTATATAAACAATAAAATTTATCCAATGGTATTGAAGAAAGCGATTTTGTGCTTGTGGAGGGCATATTAAAATTAAGAGTAGATTGTGTTTTGAGATATTTTCATTTTCATCATTAGAAGTATATATTTTATGTTTTATCAGATGTCTGCTTAAGGTACCTAATTATTTTATTAAGAATAAGGTTAAGTTATTTTGACAATGAATTATTCAGACAGTTTCTTAAGAAAAAATATAACTATATAAATAATAACCAAAATATTTTAATAATAATACTGCTTATTTTGATTAATTTATTGCTTAAAAAATTATAAACAATTATTTTGTTACTTGTTGCTGATGATACATTAAATATGGTACTGCAGTGAACACATACTCTATGTTTTTTATTGTGACTATAAGTAAAATGTTTCTTGGACAAACTTATGGTTTTCATATTGTAAAATAAAAATTAACAAAATCTAAAATAACTCATCTAGAAAAATATCATAAAATAAAATATACAAAAAAATCATATTATTTGAATAGTAAAGCAAACTTAAATAATAATAAAAGACCGGTCCGGACCGTAAAAGATAAAAAGACCGGTCCGGGCCACGGTCTTCAAAAAAAGATCGGTCCGACAATCAGTTTGGTCCCGGTCTAAGACCGATAGGACCGGACCGTTGACCTTCACTACGCCTAATTCTGAGACAAATATAATATTTTTTATCACCAGGGCTTAATCCCTATACCTGAGTTAAAAATCCCTACATACATATATATTTGAATCAACTTACAATTTATTTTGTAAACCAACAAAAAACTGCTCGATCAACCTAACAGTCCTTCGAATCCCCTATTGCTTCGCTATTTTTTTCTTTAATATTTCTAAAGCACTTTGTTGTCCAATTTTCCACTTAAAATGAAAACCTTTCCTTAATAAATCATATAATGGAGATGCCACTTTTGCGAAATTCTCCACAAAACGATGATTGCGTTGGTCCATTTTTTAATTAATATTGATCTTAACTATCCATTTTTAATTAATGTGGTGTATGTTGAATTGTATTTAAATTTAAAAAATTTTTATCATTGTGATATGATATAGGTGATAACATGTAAATTAAAAGAAATTGTATCATTGTGATATGAAAAATATGATGCATTTAAATTTAAAGAATTTTATCATTTTGATTATGTCACAAAGTAATTTTTTTGTTTCCTACTGTCCAATAATTATGTTAAAATATCGTTTTCACTATCTTATTTTTTTTTGTAAAGTAAATTTTTCTTTGAAAGAAAATAGTTCTTTGATTATGCAAATTTAAAGAAATCTTATCATTTTGATATGTTTACAATGATGTGTGCAAGACATCATGCTGTCCAATGAATAAGTTAAAAATATTATTTCCCCTATTCTATTTTTTTTTTAAATTAAAATTTTCTTAAGAAAATATCCACTTGATTATGTATATTGCCTTATTAGTTAACCTCTGTGTCTTCTACACACCTTATCCCAAAGCCAATAACAATTTTATCCCCTACCCTACCCCCTCTCTAAAGCGTATTTCCTCCATTTCCTGTATATTATACCTCCTACACTCTTACTAAATCAAAATGAGCAAAAAATGGAAATACAAAGAAAAAACGCTTTCATTTTAAATGATGAAACCTACCCCCTTCCTTGGGGATAAATTTAAGTTCCTGGCTAGTCTGAGGAATTTTAAAATAACTTGAGATGCATCAACATTATTAAACCAGGATTTAAGTGATAAATAAAAAGTGCCAAATATATTTTTTAAGGGGAAAGCACAGGTCTATTGTCTATGCGATATGGGCGCTTATGCTTACAAGCCAAAAATATATTGTTTGCCATTCAAGATTTGCTAAGTAATGTCCAGGTGGACCTATTTTTTAAAAAAATAAATAAATAGGCAGGCTGGAACTCATTTAAAAATAAGTTTGGGCCAGACCAGGTTGAGCCTAATTTTTGAAATAAGATTTATCATAAATTTTTTTAAAAAACAAGGCACCAATATTTTATTTGTTTGTAAAATGATCAAAAACTCAATAATGTTCAGTATAAAAATGTATCAAAAAATTTCTTTTCTATATTTAAATAAATTCTGGCAGGTCAGAAGGATAGATAAAAATAAATTTGTTTGGGATCAGGTGGGAAGGTTGCTTTAAAAAATCCTCCAGACCACGTCAGAAAAGTTAGGCCAAATGAAGATTATTAATTGTATAATGAAAAGGGATAAAAATTAGAATAGATAGATTTATGATATAAAAAAAAATTCATAAAATTCAGCTTTCATGATATAGAACTGAAATAATTAATATATAAAATGTTTAAGACCTATAGCAAAGATATGTATACTTAAAGTCTGAAGAAATTTTTCCAATTTCAATTTTTAAAAAAATTTATTGATATAATGCTGATTTACAATAAAACAAATATATATGCAATATGTGATTAATAGAATTTGTAATATAATTTATAAAAAATATTTAATCTTACACGAGAATTATTTTTAAAAAACCAATCCATATGGGAATATGAATGTGTACATTTTATTTAATTTATGCATATAATAAAACATGCTAAACAATAACCGATATCCTAATTTCAAATTAAGTTTATATATATTAAGATATATTAAATAATTATAATACATTTATGAAAAATTTTATATTTATTAATATGTTTTATTAACTTTCATATATTGACTTTTTACACCTTAAAATATGTAAATAAATAACATATTGTATTAGGAAGAAAATGTTGATATTAAATTGTACATAAAATTAAATTTTTTATTTTGTTCATCAAAAAATTTTTTTATGAGACTAAAAGATAGCAGAACGAAAGTATTTGTATCTTATTTAGATATAATTCATTAATTTTAGTTTGATGGAAATATGTAGTGTTCATTTTATCTTTTCTTTCATATAATATAAAATTAAATTATTTTAGCCGAATTTAGTGTAAATTAGTTAATTATTCCCCTGCTAACAAAACAAAAATCTTGCAGCATGCTCTTATAAAGAAATGCATGTAAAATGAAAATTTTTTATGTTCCTTACAATGATTATCATTGGTAATGTTATTAAAAGTGTTAAACAGCAAGAAATATTATTTTTTATAAATTGGAAGCCCTATTTTTCGAAAGGATTAGTTTTTATATGCGAAAAATGAAATGATAAAGGAGGAATCTGTGAACGCCCTTGCCAATTAATTGAAGAAAGTATTTTACCTTGTAATGTGATGAGCAATTAAGAGATTATTTATAACCAATATACATTTTAACTAGATAGAGGTTAAGATCAGAAGCAAACTCGGAAAATCCTGATCGATAAATTGTTCGACAAAATATTCGGAAAGCATTCAATTTAGAATTAACATTGAAAAGATAGAGATTGAAATTAATATATAAATTCTAAGGAATTTATAAATAACTTTCTTGCTATTAATAAAGGAGTTTCTGAAAAAATCGAAATAAACAAAATTAGGGGATTTAATTTTAACAGATACATATATAAGGATATATTATTGATAAGAACACTTTAATAATGATATATTGAATTATAATGGTAATGATTCTATATTTAATAATTTTAATAATGATGGGAAGAATTATTAATGTTGTTAGTAATTAATTTTTCTAAATTCAATATGAATAATAATATGAAAGTATAATAATAATTTTAGTTGCAATAGATGCGGTACTTACCACAATAACATGCTATAAAGTACAATGGCCGTGTTTTGGTTCGCCTTATTTCTAAACAGTAGTCTGTTTAGCCGTTTATATAGCTTCCTCTAAACAACCTAAAATGAAAGAGACTATTTAGATTTACGTAGTTAGTAACGATAATTTATTTTATTTGGGCCAATAGTATAAAAATAACAAACAATATTTATTTAATGTACAAACTTAAAACAAATAAAAATAGTGTGCCCAAGTTAAAAAATTTATTTAAAAAACAATTCTATTAATATTTAGGTAATTAGTCACAATGATAGCTCAAATTAGCAATCATAAAATTAATTTTGTTTTTATGGGGCTGGAGGTTTAATTATCAAAAAGAAAGTATTGGAGATGAGATGATAGATCATCTAAACAAGGTATTTGCACTTTTTATTAAAACAACGTTTGTCTATTATATCAAATCTGTGACTACGGTTAGAAATAAAAAATGCAATATCTCTGTTTTAAAAGGAAGTGCATATAAATATGAATAATCTTGGAAATGTGAATATTTTTAAATTAAACAATGAAGTGATATGTCAATATATATAAACTGCCTCGAGATTGGTAAAATAAAGGATTTTAAGTTAAAACCCACGTTAGCAAAAAAAAGTTATTCCAGTAGTCCTATCACTTATGTGAACCCTTTCCTATGGTAAAAATATCAAGGCTGGAATTGAGATATCAATCTAGGAAAATATGATCTATTAAAAAAGCGGAGTGGGCAACTGTTTATGCGCGAGAGGGGGGCATTTTTGTTAAGCTGGATCCAAATTAAATCTACAGGCATACAGCGTTGACATAACAGGATATTCATTAAATGCAAACTCCCCTCAAAAACTTATATTTAGAAAAGTAAATGATGGGGATACATTAAAAAAAATTACTTTAAAGAGTGCAAATTAAAGTAAATCAAAATAGATACCGAGCATCTTTTTGAGGATTTATCGTCATTTCTAAAAATTGTACCCATTTCTCCACTAGTACATTTTTGAGTATTCTTAGAATAAAAAAAAATAACGGGTATAACAATCTCCCCAAACAAGATATCAATCTTTTCCCTAACTTTTTTTTAAAAACTATTTTTGTCGTAATTAATTATATTTTGCTATAATTGTTTTGTAATTTTTAATCATTTCTTTTTCTTATATGTTTTTTTTTATTTTTACGTAAAAAAATTTAAAAAATAAAAATAACAAAAAATAATGGCTCGCAATGTGTGTATATAGATTTGGTCGATGTTTAACAATATCATTGTATTATAATAGGTCCATAATAAAAATATTAATTTTTCCAGCAATACATTTTGCCATATTTCATCTAAAATTTAAAAGACAGCCCCCCCCCCCAATAAATTTATCCTACCCCTTTACCTAAATGCTTACTCCATACCCCCTCAAAAAAGTTTGAAGAAAATTGTTCCTACCTCCCCCCCCCTCTTCCGCTATAGTAGGAGCTGTAGGCAAATATGACCAACTTTTGATTATTTGATAGGCAATATTATAGGCTCTGGTGGGAACACTGTCTCTTCAATTAGCAGGAGGAAGGAAAGCAGCAAAAAGATATCAACGAATCTTACTCCTTCTGAAACCCAATGCGTTTCCATTCCTCTAAAAGCAGTGTCTTGTTAGAAGCCAGTAACAACTAACTTGCCTTTTTTAGTGAGTAGTGAAATTGGGAAACAGATTTCTTTATCGATCTCCCAATTGTTTTATTTAATATAATTTTTTTCCTCTTGACATAAATTATGAATATATTACAATCTGTTAATTTGAGTTTAATAAATAAACAATATGTATAATTTAAAAATAAATTAATTAATAACGCGCAAATGTATAAATCAGAAAACAATCAACTGTGGAAATTTCATATCCAATAAAGAGGTAGGATGTTGGAAGTATTTATCTTCATCTTTACTATTAAGTGATTTCGTCGATTCTTTATTTCTTATCTCAACAAGAGTTTTGCGATTTCCTACATTACGAGTATGACTAATGTAAGGAGGGTACGGTGGTGTATCATAAAAGGACTGGGGTGAACGGGTGATGTTTTTAAAAATGATAGCTTTCATATTTTTGCGATTTTCTACCTCCTTGCATGTCGTTCTTAATAATAAATAATTTTGTCAATAATTTTATTTAATTATATGATGCACAAAAAACTATTTAAAAAATGTCCAAAATACGCCTATTTTATTTGAGAAAAACCTAAAAAAACAAAATTATTTATAAAATTTAAAAAAAATATAATATATAATAAAATAAAACTAATTTTCAAGAAAAAGTAACGAGTAAGGTTTTGCGTTACATTGACTTGAAAAAAATAAATGCATAACTCGTTACCATTTGAAACAAGTAAGGAATCGCGTTTTCCTCAGAAAACACGGCGTTAGTAATGACGTTACTTTACAGCACTATTAAATATTTTATTTGTTTCTTTTTTTAAACTGATGTTTCTGTTATTTTAATGAAATTTTATACGTCCTTATTTTTCTGGACTCTGAACCCAAACTCTTTTTTTTAGAACGAGGGTTCACAGCCCTGCCATAAACTATTTAGTTAAAATTTTTAAATAATTTCAAATTTATTTTCTCAATCATTAAAACCGCTTCCACTTACATATTATTTTAAAAACAAAATTTAAATATCTAACACATTTTATAAAAAAAAAGATGGAAATTTTTCTGTTTAATTTTATGAATGCAATATGGAACCGAAAGAACAAAGACAATTCTAGAAACCGGAACCCTTTTAATTATTAAGAAGAAGAACCAATCCCGGAACAGGTTCAAGGGGTTTATTTATTAAATTATTTGAATCTTTTTTATTGCAATAACAAAGTTAGGAAGAGGACCTGGATTCTCGTAAGAGAGTCAAATTCAGGAACCAGAAACAACTTTTCAAAATTTTAGAAACCAAAACCACTTTTTATTCAGAACTGGAACATAACCCTTTTTAGTTCAACTTCAAAACTATGGACAAATGGGATTTAAAATAATATGTGAATAAACGGATGATTTCCTAATTATCAGTATTAAGTTTTGAAGACTATTTAAATCACAGCGACAACAATTAAAATACAACTTTTATATATTACAAAATCAATATTGTATATGATCATAATTGTGTTTGTTTAATATGTATAAAAAAATGGTTTTAAGAAAATCTAGTATTGCGAATTCCATGTCTAAATTCCTCACACAGTTTTTTTTTAAAAAAAAATACATTATTTTGCGTTCTATTTATATCTTACTCGTCTTTTTATGCCAATTCATAGGCATATACCCCATTATTCCAATAGATTGAAAAGTTAATAAAGTTAGGAGCCAGAGAAGACTTTTCGATCCGTATCCTAAGATGTGGTTTCGAGTATAACTTTTAGGGATTAGGTAGTTATAAAGGGTATAATTATCTCTTCAGTAAAAGAACCTTATCTGATCCGGAAAAAAATGGATAGATTTATTGGGTTCCATTTCATTTAGTAATAATATAAATGATAAACGCTTATAAAATTTAAAAATAAATATATATGGTGATGCATCAAAAATTAAAACTTTAATATTTTGGGGAATTTGTCAGGAGCCAATAATCCGATGGTGGAGGCTAATATTACAATTACCGGATATATATGCGAAAAAATTTAACCTACTTTTAATACTAAAATTTTCGACCAGAGATATAAAATGTTAAAAGGCGTTAGTATCGAAGTTTTACTGTAATATAAAAAAAATTTATGGATAATAAAATGTATCACTTTGATATTATTTCTTCGAAAGGGGCGTTTTTGTACCAATCACACATTTGTTTTATTTTATTATCTTTGGCTTGTTTGTCTGTATTTAAAAAAACGTCAAATCAGTAAAAACTAATGATAAAAGTTAAATAAAGAAGAAACTCTAGAAAATCATATTGACTAAGCATAAACTAAAAGTTCGTTAATAATTATAAGAAATAATCACTGGTATAATTTCCCGTTTTTATTTATGGCATATTAATAGTAAGCACGATATCGCTCTTCATAGCGATGAGATATACGATTGCAAGTCAATAATTTTGTTTTCAAATAAATTAATAAATATTGAAATGTTTTGAATTAAATCTGAACAGCACTGTATATTATTTAAAATTTCGTATCATTCATTTTAAAATAAGAAAAACAGGGGGAGGGGTGAGGTGAGGTATTTATTTGCTTAAATTTTTTATTGCTTTAACAGAGTCTGAAACCGGAACCAAAACCCATTTTTCAAAATTTTAGAAACCATAACCATTTTTTTAAATAAAAATATTTAAATCTGAACCCTCTTTGAGGTTCCAAATTCTGAGAAAAATTAATTTACTTAATGGGTAGGAACATCACAATAGGGAAGATCGGGCCTCGTCCGATACATTAATAATTAAACAAAATATAATAATAAATAATCATTTTACCATAGGGTGTTTTCTCAAGAAAAAATACGCGTTTCATGCTAAGAGCATTGATATCTTGGTAAGTAGGAATTGTAGGGTACTTTTTACGATGTTTGCCTTTGTTATGTAAGTCTTGTAAAAAAAATAATATTTTTTATTGAAAACAAAATGTAAATAGTAAACATTTATATAATAGGAATTTTTTGTCTTTAAATTTAAAAAAGATATAAAAACCATTGATATTGGCTCCATTTTCCAAACTTTTAAGGGTAGGGGACGAAATAGATGGATTAGAATGGCTACCCTCGCCGTCAAAGAAATAGGACGTAGCATCCCCATCTCTGTCATTAGAAGAATTATCAGAGGAACTAGAGGAGCTACCTATGCTTAGAGAGTTAAGACTCAAGGCGGGTGATTTGTTGGTACCATCGGGATAAAATTGGCCGCCGTCGGTAACATTGTTAGGAGTCACTTTAGATGAAGAAGAAAGATACGGTTCGAGCGACTTAAGATTCAAGGGGGTATCTAGTACGGTGGCATCCATGCCTATTTTGGGGAGATATGATTGGATAATATATTATATGTAAAGAGAGTACTAAACTATTCATAGTAAGCTTAATGAGAAAAATTTGTTCAATATCTACCGAGCTTTTACTATATCAGGAATACTAGTTAAACTTTTATTCCAAGATTTTGGTAATTGGCAAGCAAAGGTAAGGTTAATGTAACTAGGCCTCGAAGCAAATTTTAGCTCTTAAGAAATATATTTGATAGTTCAATAGGGGTTAAAATTTAAAAAATCGCATAATTTTTACCATTATTTAAGAAGTGCGTAGTATGCGTAGAGGGCCAATAAATAAAATTCGTTCGAATTACTATTCAATATTTATCGACAACATTAAAATTCCCCATTCGTTTTTATGTGTAAGTCACATAATAAATTTATACATCGAAATATAAACTTGATTGAAAAGGATATTTTTAATTTTAAGAAATATTTGGGCAAAAATATTAAAAACGAAGTAATAAATTTAATTAGAAATGCAATTCAAACCAAAATTATTAGACGTCTAAAACTGAAATATTTTTGTATTGTTGTTTTTTATTTAAACTTATTATTCTTTGTATAAAATTATGACTAAAATACAAACAAACCAATATGTGAAATGTTGAAGCTGAGGGATTACTAAAAAAAATAAAAACTGTTTGAATTCATTTGTAGAATAATAAATCGCATAAAATATTATATAAAATTAATTTAGTAAGGAAATGGAAATTACTGTACTGAAAAAAAAACATAAGAGAAATAGCTGTAAAATAGCAAATATTTAAAATTTTTGAATTTCCGTAAATTTTAACAATTCGAAAAATATATAGAATGTTTAACTATAAATAATATATACAATTATTGCTCCTAAAAAAATCGTAATAGAAACTAGTCATACAAGGCCCCGTCAACCGTAGGACGGCCCGAGGCCAGAAAAATATTATGTTAAATTTATTTCCTAATCTTCCTTTTATGCTTGGTTGAATAATCACAATTATAAAATGAATTTAATAAATAAGAAATGTTTTTAAAAAAATTATGTTTAATTAGTTCTTATCTTACCCCTAGAACATCATACACGTTCCATATTTTATATTTAAATTTAGCATTTGCATTAATCCAAGTACATTTAAAATATAATAAAAAAATATTTTATGAAGTCTAAAACAAAGGTTTTAACGTCATTATCTAATTCAATTAAAACTAAAACATTGCATTAAAAGAGTTAAAGCTCATTCCCTGCAGAATAACTTAAATTAGGATTAAAGCGAATAATAGAATAAACATCCATTGATAGAAATGGAAAACATTTTCTTAAATAACCAATAAGTAACGCTGTAAACGCTACTTCAAAAAAGAAGCGCGATACTAGTTATGCTTGAAAAAGGGAATGCATTATCGTTACCCATTGGGTAATTCCATACCAAATTGATAAATTTTTGACCCGACCCTTTTAATTTGATAAAATTTTGCATACTGAGAGAACATCTTTAGAAACCATCGATTCCAAAATTTTAGCCTCCAAATACTAATAGTTTCTGAGATATCAATGGTCATAAAATACTCTTTTTCGAAAAATACGATTTTTAAAAATTGAGAATTTTAATAAATAATGATGTAAAAATAAAAGTTATATGTAATTTTGTAAATCTATTAAGGTCTTTAATTAAATATTAAGGATTTTTATAAAATAATAATCTTACGGTTTTTATTTAAGTAATTAATTTTGAACCTGAAAAATCCAGGTGTTCCGCTTTCCGAATTTATTTGAATTTAATATTAATCACTTATATTATATATATATATATGTAAAAAAATTTAAACTTGTGGCAGCGATGAGTTTTTTAAGTTTGTACAATTTTTTTTAAAAAAATGAATATTTTTGTCAAAGATAGATGGCGATCTTTTTTTGAATTTTTTCCATTTTTAAACATAAATAATAATATTTTCCAGAATTAATATCATGAAAAATATTAATTAAGTCGCCGTTAACAGGCTTTCAATACTATTGATAACTTGTAAAAATTAAATGTTTTCATAATAAACGATTAAATTTTCTAAAAAGATAGTTACGATTATCTGCATTAGGCGGGTTTTTGGACCATAAGCCTGCCAAACCAATTTTTAAAAAAATTTTAACCCGCCCGCCCATAGTTTTTAAAAGAAATATACCGCCTGCCCATTTCTGAAATTCCTTACCCGCCCGTTCGCCCATTAATCTAAAAATTTTTACCCGTTCACCTATTTATAAAAAATTATAACCCAAGGCCGCTATTATAAAATTTAATTATGGTGATTCTTTCAATTTTTTAAGCATCTTATAAAAAAAAATCAACATTACATCTCTACAAAAAATTTTATAATTTAGTAAATACATATTAAGCATAAAAAAAATATTCAATTTAAATTATGGATAATTTATTTGATCAAATAAAATATTTATGAAAAAATATAAATATAAAATTGATATTATATGTAATTATAATGCTAAATAATAATGAATCGACATTTTCTGGATTCAAACACGTTCTTCTTTGTTCTATAAACCTTCCAGCAATGCTAAGTCCTCGTTCAGAAGAAGCATTAGTTGCAGGAATTGCCAATATTTTTCTTGCTAATCTTGATAGCTTTGGCAAATCTCTTTCCTGTGGTTTCCACCAAAGTAGTTATATAAATATACAAAAAAGTTTATTTATTTTAAGAAAAAAGTTTTTATGATACCACAAAGGGACATTTTAATTTTTAATATCCAAAAAAGTTCATAAGAACAATTTTTTATTAATATTTAATTAAATGATTTTAAATTTTTTTCAACCCGCCCGCCCATTGTTTAAATTTCTTAACCCGTCAACCCATCCGCCCATAGTTTAAAATTTTTTAATCCGCCGCTCACCTGCCCGTTCTTAAAAAATTGTTTGCCCGTCCATCCGTCAGCTTTCTTAGAAAGGCGGGAGGGCCAAAACCCCGTCCAATGCAGACCTCTAGTTAAGATATCTCCTGCACCTGCCTGCTATTAATTAATTTTTATTTTATAAATATTTCGATATTAATTATTTTTTCATAAAAAGTCAAAGTTATGACATGGATAACTTAATTTCCAAATATTGAGGTGGAAACAACTATATTGATCAAATGTCGTAAGCGTTTATCACAAAAAATCTAGAAAATATAAATTCTGACAGCGAGTATTAAATAACTAATATCACCACAGCATCCACTTCAATAGATACAATTAATATTCCTTTAAATGAAATTGGAATATCTCCTATTAAGAAAAAAACTCACTGAAAAAAATGATCCAAAAAAAAGATAGCAAAAATATCAATAGCTATTTCGGAAGTAATAATTAACAATCCAGAATATGTTAGTTGCCAATGAAAGCTTACAAAGACCTTTCAGATCAAATATTTATACCTGTACATTTTTATAAATAGGATGAAGAGCCTATAAAGACCTTTCAGATCAAATAATTATACCTGTACATTTTTATAAATAGGATGAAGAGCCTATAAAAGGTATAAATTTTTTTAGCCATTATGGCAGATCTCAATACTTGAGATATAAAAAATTTACGCAGTGTTTCCAAATAAGATATATTCAAATTTGCAGACGTTTACTGTGGAGAATATATACGAGGATCTGTAAATCGATGATATTAGAGGATGTGACCTGTATGTAAGAAAAAAATTAGTGGTTAGAATTTGTACAAAAAGTGGATGTAAATAGAGATGAAATTTTAATAAATATTATCCACCCTAAAGGACGAGTAAATTCTTTTGTTTATGCAGAGAACCAGTTTTAATATCAAAAAATTATTTTGACAGTGAACCCATCAAAGACGACTGGGCAGTGGCGTAGCTACTGGGGGGGTCAGATTTGGACACCAGCCCCCCAGAGTAAAATTTTTTTTAGATTATAAGTTCTAAAGACTCAAAAGTGACTTTATATCAAATAAATACCATGAATATTTATATTTTGTTATTTATAAATTGTTTTACAATAGTTTATATAAAATTTATGTTTTGTTATATATATAAAATATTTAACATTTATTTATTATATATAACATTTATAATATATAATCTATAATTTAAATGTGTTATATAATACTACTAATTATAAAATATATCATTTATAATCAGCAATTTATATGTTTAATACTAATAGTTATAAAGTATATAATTTATAATTAAGGCAATATAATATTTATAATTAAAGCAACATAATTTATATTTTAAATAATCGCTTTTTATTTGTAAATTGATTTCTTAATGAAACGTATATCTATAAATGTTATGTCGAAATGTGTTATTTTAATTAAAATTAGTGTTATTAATGGCTCAATTTGAGCCGACATGGCTAACTCAATATATTAGCCAGACAATTATGCAAGCTTGAAAATTTTGCTCATGGATGATACAAAGGTTTAGACATTATTCATGAAATCTCTAGGCTTGAGCAATATTATTTTGGCTAAAATATTGAGTTAGCTGTTTATAAAAATCGGCTCAAATCGAGCCGTTTAACAACACTAATTAAAATGATCAATAATTCAAGGACTTTTATATTATAAGAAAAACAAATATGATTTTTAAGATAAACCCCCCGAAGGCCTGACAAGGGCCATTAAAGGGGGTGTGGGGGGGGCGAAGCTCCCCAGGCTTTTGTATGGACCCCCTTTAAGGAAAATTCCTAGTTATGCCACTGCGACTGGGCCTACTTATTATTTATTGCAAAACGAAATTAACAAGTCATAAAAATAAATAATATCTTTCGTGAATTTTAATTTTCTTATCATATTTACAAAATTAATTAAATAATTTTTGGAAAATTAAAATTTTTTATAAGAAAAAAATTCTCATCTAATTATTTTATTTCATGATTATTAATGCTGGTATTATTTATGTTATAGAAAAAATTCAAAAAATATAATTTACCAAAATTGCGTAATTTTATAAAGGAGCTTTATCTATCTGTCCTTAGTTTAAATTTCCTTTACATATAAGTGATTTAATACTGGGCAGGGAGAAACCGGGAGGTACATAAGGAAGGTTATGAGCAAAACTAGACTGAAACTTATGCCGAACTCGTATCAGCAGTTTATAGAGGCTCCTACTGGGCTTCGACTCGTACGGTATTGAGCAAACTCGGATTGAACAGCAAGTACTGCTAGTTGTTTCGTGGCTGATGAATTCTTCAAGAGGATGATCCGTTCTAGCACTGTACTTCTCCTCCTCGGCATCGAAGAATTTAGTACACTGAAGAAAAATCGTGGGTGGCAGAAGAGATAAAGAAAGCTCACTTTCTCGGTTGACAAAGAAAGAATCAAATAAATTTCGTATAAAACACTGATAGAGATTCTAACGGCCATATTGGATGCCAAAATACCAGTGAAAAAGGTCAGAGCATACGTAAACAAGGTAGTTGATGATCTCTATACGACAAAATTGCTGTCAACCAAGGGCAAAGCAAGGTAGACGATCCAAAAGCACTCCCCGCGAAGCTAATAGAGAGTAGCAAGTGTGATAAAGCGAACACACAAAGTATCGCGATGCTAGCTGGGGAGGAGAAAGAAATAACGAAGGAGGTGATGACGCGGAAACAGCTCGTCAACGCTACGGAAGTCAAAGACGATCACCTCAAAGAACGCGGCAACAGTCGCAGTAATCGCTTGACATCGATGACATGAATTCTAGGATGAACGATATAGAAAACGAAAAGTCCGACTACTACAAAACATAATTAAAAGGCCTATAACAAATAAAGGAAAGATTGAATCATTTAGAGGAAGAAATCGTGCATCATTCTGGCAAATTCTAGTACCCATCTCGCAAGGTTTGGAAGGAGTTGCCTCTTCTTAAGATGATCAGGACCAGATTCTCTCCACTAGTTTGGACATTCACCTTATAACAACTAAGCTCGGACGAGTACAAACGTTTAACTGAACCAAGCAATAGCAAAAGACCAAACTAAAAGATATTTCATTCTCTTTAAGAACAACGAGAAGACAAATGAGAAGACGGTTGAGCAACCAAGAAGGAAGAATAAGCAGGTTGAGGTTCATGATAGATAAATAGAAGTTTTTTGGATCAATGTTGCATGAATATTATTTCGGTAAAAAAATTTGTAGAATGGCACAGTCCTAGTTCCAGGTACATTTTTTTGCTCGGAAGTACTTCCAATTCTACGATACTAATAATAAATTTAAAATTCCATATATTGTTTAGGGTTGCATATCCTTTATTTTTTTGGATATCATTTTTAAAATTTTATCTTCGATGAATAGTTTTAAAAAGATATACAGGAGATTTTACCAAATGGAAATTATTTATTTTTGAGCACCTTTTTCACTATTTGTAGGCATCATTGATCTCAACCAATATTATTATCATTGCCTTCTCTATTTCTTAAGACATTGGAGAAAAAAAAGATTATTTCTCTAGATCTAATCTTCTAGCCATTTTTAAATAAATAAAATCCGATATTCATTAGAAGAATTTCTAAAAAAAAAGGACAGGCTGAATAGTTAAATATATAGCTCTTGAAAACCAGTTGAATTCGAATCATTTATAATTTAAATCATCTTTTATATAGATTAATGATATTGGGAGTTAATATATAATTATGTATTTTTGTAAAATATTAGGATTTTCAAAATATTGATATGATGAGGCTACATTAAAAAAAATACACCGACATTTATGCTGTTTGTGATCTATCAAATAAATAGTAATTATTGAGGAAATTTATTTATATATAAATTTTTCAAAAATATTCAAAAAGAAAAATTTCCACTATCCCACAAATATCAATAGCAAGCAATTAACTTACTCAATCCTAAACAAAATAAATAAACAAATGCACCATATTGGAAACTTTGGCCCATAAAATATGAATCCACACATTGAGGCCAAAGAATTCCTTTTCTTAAAACTAAAAATGCAAATATTTAAATATAATTATTGCATTTTTTTAGGGACTAAATTATGTTTTTCATAATTGTGCACTCCCCCCTCCTCTTTTTATAAAATTTAAAAAAATATATTTGAAATATAAATAAAAAAATATCTCGAGAATTAATTGCATAAAAACATGTAATTTTTTTAGGAATTTTCTTTAAGTTATGACGAAATTTAGAAAAAAAATGTTATAAACTGTTTGAGACATGATCAAATATGAAGACCCGTCCTAAATAGGTTTAAAAAGTCTAACGGTGAGCCTGAAAATTATGCGTCTGGGAAACCAAAACAAAATTTCTAAAACAAACATGAACTATCACAACGAATATTATTTAAAACAGTTTATTAGTCTAACAAAAAAGTTTTACCTAATTGTGCAAGGGCCCCTTTAAAAACTTCGATATCAAAGAATAGGGTGTTATCGGCTAACAATTCTTTGCAAGCGGGGATTATCTGATCGGAAGGGATGGGAAGACCTGTAAGGAAATTTGTACTCGAAAACGATTTGATACTAAATCTATCTTTTTCAATTTTACATTTTAGAAATGTCTCGCGATTTTTTTCATTTTCTTCTATGTTTTCAAGATTAACTTTAACGTCATTGGACTTAAGGTTTCGCGGAGGTAACATTTGAAGAGATAGCCCCAGCCTATTGTTCAACCTGGCTTCTATGATATCTCTAACGTGATCGGTCAGTGCCGTAACCTTATCTATGTTGCCGATTTTCGCATTCTTAGGTGTAATATTTGTTGGTAAATTTTGAGCGCCATTTTGTAAACTGGAGACAGTAGAAGAAGTGGTTATAAGCGAGCCTTTTGATTTTCCCTCAGTATTTTGTTCGTCTCCTATATTATTGGATTCGGATTCTACTGCGTCTGATTGGGGGTTTCGTGTCAATATTGCTTCGTCCAAGGAGGCGTAATAAAGGTAATACCACCAGTCCAAGGCTCTTAGTAGGAATGAAAAAGCGCAAGCGATCATGGAATGCATTTCGAGCTCGAGCAAAAAGGCAGGAAGGGAAAACATTTCGGTATAAGTGGCTAAAAAAATATAATTTTTTTAAAAAAAAAAACTATAAACTATATTATAATTGGCTAATTTGATTATAATCCAATTGGGGTTCATATTACTCGCTCACTTTAAGATAGTTTTCGTTTTATATAGTTTATAATTATAAATAATGGTTGGAGGAAGCCCATATTTATCACTGTTATAACCACACTCAGATTGGGTAAATTGCAAATAAAATATTCTTTTTAAATTGGAAAAATCAAGTACGTAAAATAAAGCTAATATAATAGTGATTTTAAAAACAATATTTAGGATTTAAACCTGGGGTTTCCTCCTTTCCCTCCTTATTTTTTTCATCGGGATTTTGTTTGGCCAAAGTTCTAGTATCATCTTTAACACTCAATCTTTTACTATCGCGAAATTTATGTTTATATCGATCTATTTGATCATTTATGTTATTATTGTTATCAACTCTCTCGTCCGGTAATTTGTTAGAAGTCATGTTAATATCGTCGCGATGAATATTGGAATTCATGTCGAATGATTTGAGGGAGGCGTTCGACATCAATTCATTGTCTACCAAACGACGCATCGGGTATTCGAAATCGGTATGACCACTGCCAAAACTATCCTTTTTGCTAATATCATCGTACCTCGATGATAAGGCGGTTTTTTGTGACGTTGTTGGTGTCATAGATGCACCCGAGTCATTGCTTATTTTTTCAAACGTTCTTATAAAAGGTAGGTCTCTGCACTTTTTTTGGAGAGCAAATAAGAGCCTGATGAGGGTCAAAGAAATAAATCACAATATAAAAATTACATTTAACTAATTATTTTCCTAATCAAATTGTTTTAGAAGCATCCTACTATAAAAAATATAATGTGGTTTTTCTTTCGTGGGAAACAATTACTTGATTATATCAAGCATAACATCTTCGGAAGACCCCAATTCCAGTATCAAAAGCGCTATAGTTAAAAGCAAGCTTCTAGTGTTATCCTTTTCGTTATTGAGCCGCAAAGAGCTTTGATAGATGGCAGAATAAAACCAAGATCCGTTTTTGCGGGCGAATAAGCTGTCCAAATGGGAACATTTTTCGATCTTAATGATTGCATTTAAAAAAAACAATAAAATAAATCTAAGCAAAAATTCATATAACACATCAAACTATATGTCTCATAATTGAGTGGGAATAATTTTTCATATAAAGTTATATCCTTTACCCTCCCCTTCCAATTTAATTTTAAATATAATGTTTAACAGATATCATGGATTCATTCACGTTAAAATAATATATATTATTAAACCGTCAGATCTGACCATACATCAAAGTTTTGAGCATTTTCATCTTCGGAGTTTATTTTATCGATATTTAAAATTCTGGTATTCACGTTTAAGGGGTCATAAATGTCAGAAACATTGTCATTATCTGTTAACAAAATTGAAATAATGTAATAGACATGGGATATATATAATTAGCGTTCAAATTAAATTTAACATTTTTTTAGGGGCTCATAAACCAAGAATTATATCGTCCAAAAGTTTTATTCTTATATTTGTACGTTAAAAACGGGCGTGGATAGACTTTCTATTCGTTTGGTTGAAAGGAATTGTTAGAACAATATAATATTTTATCAACTAAAAATAAACAAGTGAATTGTTTGAATAATGCCTCGTATTGTATAAGCCATTCCATCGACCTATAAGTTTATAATTATCATAACGCGCAATTATAAGTGGTACAATCTTTTAAATAATATATTAATAATACCTAATATGTAATAATAAAATGAGCTGGTTAATAAAATAAAAATCATTTAATTTTTGAGAAATGTTCTAAAAGGTTCCCAAGGCCGGAACGAAATAAAATTTTTTCTAAATGCCTTGTTCAGAGCCCAACTCATTATTTTTTATATAATATTGTATAAAGTTTTTAATCAATTAAATAGCATTAGAATGTAATAATTTCATATTTTAGTTTAATAATGTTAGCATATATAATTGTTAAAAAATAAAATTACCCAACCAAAAAATATCAATTTATAATTGTGCTTCAACTATAACTTCATAGTATGGGATGTAACATTACTATAAAATAATAAATTTCTCTTATATGTACATACCTTTTTTAGATGAATCCCTCAGCAGCAAAAAATCGAAGCTATCCCTCGAAGACAACTTTTTGAGATTGTCGTGTCGGTCTATCAAAGTATGTAAAATTTCGAAAACTATTATCCTAACCCTTCTGTCTTTAACAATGGACATTTTAAGCAAGGGTATCAAGAAATTGGATGGGAAAGTGGCGGAATATTGAATGGAATTGAATTTAGTCGCAACCTATAATACACAAATTTTAGATCAATTACGCATATATGATAATAATTTGACCTATTGATAAGCAAGGTATCTCCTCTTCATAAACCCGTGTATAGTAACTTTTTAGTGAAATGTCACTATTTGCCCTTCCCCTTCTTTCAATAATCATAGAATAAAACTTTGAAAATTGTTAAAAATCTCGATTTAACCAAATTTTTAAAAATAGCAAAGTCAAGGCTAAGTAAGCTTCGAGATTTCAACAATTAGGGCCATACATTCTTGCCATCTTTTGGAAATGTCACAAGTTTTATATAATATTTTGATTTCGCCATTTATAAAATATGTTTAATCGTTGTTTTTAATAACACTAGCTATACATGTAATTTTATGGACATTTTAAAAACCTTCAGCAAGCTCTGCAAAACCATTATTTGCAGCTTCGTGTTCCTTCTGCGTGTTTCGACATTGCTTACATTTGCGGTTTCCACCTCTTTCACATCATCTTTGTCACCTATTTTCTTGAAAATTTGTTGCACAAATACGGGGGAGCTCTCTCCTGGTAGTGTTTGAACTAAATAAGAGGAGTCTCTTTTAGTGGTGCTTTTTTGCCTGATATTTTGATCTTTGTCGAGTTTGGAGCTGGGATCAATTATTTGAACGGTATAATCGTCCAAGTGAAAGGTACGTAAAGGGTGGTCAATTATTTTGACGGGAGCGCTTTTAATATAATTATTTTATATAATTATTAATAATTATTTATTATACATCTAAGGAAGTAGGAAAATTTGTAAATATAAGCTACAAGTTATATCAACCTACTAAACTACAAATAATTAGGAGTCAAAATAGTTGTTCAAAAATAATTTATGCAATATAATTTTCCAAGAAAAACTTTACTCGGATTTTAGAAATTTATTTAATTATTATAGTTTAATATAAAGTAGGAGAGACCGGGGATATAATGAACCCGGGGTTATCGCGAGACGTGGCTTTATTTTCTAGAGTATTAAACTATAAGGAATAATTTTTTTACCAAAACTACATAATTATATAATACATAAGCAACTATAAATTTTATTTCCATCGGACAGCTTGAAGAATTTTTATAATGCATTATATGATTCGTACCTGCAAAAGTAAGTTTTTAAACCTTTATTATTTTTTAAAAATAAAGATAAATATATTTTTACAACCCAAAAAGCATCCTATATAAAAGAAAATATCCTATTTTATAGAATATCAATTTACCCGAACAAAATTTAAAATATAAATACTTCAAAATCTGATCTTAATCAAAGTGGTGGCATTGGGGCTATTTTTATGGGGTTAAAACGAGCCTTTTTCATCATTTTTTTTTAAATTTTAACATGGAAAAAAAGACCATGGAGAGAGCAAATTGAAGAAAAAAATCAAAAAATGTTATTAATAAGAAAAACAATTGCTTAGCGTGCAAAAATAATTAGAACAAGAATCATAACAATTAAGAATGGTTTCAATGTCGTAAATATAGTTATTGATCACAGGGAAGATGTTGCAATTAAAATCCTCTTTTTATTTGTAAAGATTGTGAATAATGTTCCCATTTTTTGTTTATAAATGATTTTATATATTATTTTTATGCTTTAAATCATTAAATGTTTTTATAAAAAAATATAAAACTTTTATGTGGAAAATTAAGCAGAGCTTATAATAGCCCCGAGCAAAGGCTCGTTCGTCGTCCCCGGGTAGGGTTCACTCGTTAACAAAAAAAAATTCCAGAAAAAATAAAATTTTTAAAAAAGTATTAGATATGTATTTTTGAAAATCAGACCTACCATAAAACTAATAAAGCTGGACAAAATGAGATATTTTTTGTAAGTACTTTTAATTTTATTAAGGTTTGCCTTTTGAGGCTCGCCATAACCCCGGCCTCCCCTAATATGTGATGTGAGTTATATAATAAAACAAATATTCATAATTAATTGACCGAGATATGGTTAAATAAATTTTCTTAAGTGGGGACAAAATATTTGCCTAAATCCAAAAATTGAGTCATTTTTTCATTTGTTCACTCGGCTTCAATTATAAAAAAAAATGAAAGAGGAGAAAATGAGGAAAATGGAAACAACCTGCCATCTGCTATAGTTTGAGGATTTTCTTGCACTAATTCAGTCTTAAACCTTCCTTTAGAATCTTGACTGACTACGGAATTCTGTAAGTTAGTTGATGGCATTCCACTTGATGTAGTCATAGTGGGATCATTATTGTATTGTAATTTGTCTTCTAAGATTCGTATATGAGGAATATAAATAATCACATATATATATGGGAAACTTTTTTTATGCAAACACACTAATTACATATATAAAATCTCATTTTTATTAATTAAAGTAAATTTAAGAATCTTTAAATTGTTAATCTATTATAATAATCCTCAAAAAACGTCAATCAAATAGCCAATAGTGTTCTTTTAAAAAATATTTATCCAATGAAAATGATTATAGCGTAATCGGTTCAAAGGTAATCATCATACCAAACTCAACATTCATTCACTTTAGTTACCATTTCTAACACATTTTACCATCTTCATAAGGTTAAATTTTTTATAGTTATTCTCATATTATTTTTTTAAAATAATCAATTCATACTAAGAAAATCAACTTTTATATACTCAACCCACCGAAAGTGTTAAGATATTGGACTACAGGCTAAATATTCACTTTTCATATAAAATATTTAGATAAATTATCAATAAAAAGAAATCTAAAATCAAGAAATTTAGCTTAGCCACTTGCATTTGGTATGATTATAATATTTTAAAAAGGTTATATAAGTAAATATTTACATTTATATAATTCTCTGTTTAGTTACACCCTTGGAGTTGTTAAATTAAAAACATCCTACTTTATGGGTTATCACTGCTATGAAATATAATAGGTCTGTTATTTTGCACTAATTATTATCATTGGAAGCTGTTTGGATTTATTAAGAATGAGTCTTTTAAAATTGACTTCAAAGAAATTTCAATTTCAATTATTTTATTTTTGATGAGATCACGAATACCAAAAGATATGACATGTGCTCCCCTCCATCTGGATCCTTTCATAATAGTCTAATGTGGGCTGAATAAAGGAGTTTTAATGACACAGTATGCCTAGGAATTTAGGAGTAAAACAATTCATGAAATGTTCTCGAAATTTGTTATTAAAAGCATTTTTAAAGTATACTTTGATAATATCCATGTTAAGAAGAGGATTCTGAATTTATTAAGAATGGCATACTATTTTAACTTCTCCCTTAACACTGAATCCTAATTGCTATGTATATCTAATAGTGTTGTAAACAAACGCTTCAAAATGAACGCGTTCGTGAACAAAGTTCGTTTTTTGAAAAAAATAGTGAACAGCGTTCCTTTTATTTTTGACGAACTTTGAACGTGAACGCGTTCCTTTTTTATGACGAACGCGTTCGAATTTAACGTTTGTTCAATTTTAAAAACACCTTTTATTTTTATTTATTTGAAAAATTTAATATTAATCCAAATTTTTTAAGAAAAATGTCTTATATTTTAAAACCTTTTCACATTTCAATTTATTTTAATACACCATTATTATAGTTTATTAATTTGAATATTATTGTTTATATTTTAATTTATAGATTTGCATAAGCATGGAATTATTATTTCATCATCATTATCTAATTCTGAAAATTCAAAATCAGATGAATTAACATTACCATGGCCCAAATATGATAAATATTTTACAGTAACATTCTATATTGAAGGAACTAATTCAACCAAATGTAAAATGTGCCCAAAAAGTATTATATAGTTTCAAAATCTTCAGGTTCCAATTTAAAACGACATTTGATTGTAATATTAATTATTATGTTTTATATAATATAACTAATTAAATCATTAAATTTGAAAAAAAAAATGCATTTAAATTATTTGACTCCAACAATAACGATAGTTATTTTAAAATTAAAAAAAAATTAGCGGCCTAAATTATGATCAACTATTGATAGACGCATTATTAAATGGATTAATAAAAAAAAAATATTAAACCTATTACTATCAAATTAATTAATATATTTTATTTTTTTTAAAGATTTGTACATACATATATATGAAGATCAATATATTCTTTCTGCAATTATACATCCAATATTTAAGCTAATGGCCATAGATAAAACTTCCTAAGAACGATTCTATAAAAAATAAACTTATAGCGTTATTGATGAAAAATACATTGAAAACCCTAAAAATGATAATGCAAGAACTGTTAATTTCGAGATATTCTTTTTTTTGACGAGTAAGTAAAGGATGTGGAGGAGGATAACTTATCTCAATTTTTAAGCTAGAACAAAACAATAAATGTTTTTAATAAATTCCTCACGTTATAAAAGAGTTGTTTATTAAGTATAATACTGCAACCCCCTCATCTGCCCCTGTAGAGCGCGTTTTTAGTATAGCTAATGACGTATTAACTGCCAAGTGTTCTGTCTAACAGATGAAAATTTTGAAAAACAATTTTATTAAAATTTTATAAGAAAAATTTTTTATAAATAAAAATATCTTTTTATTCACTATATTATATTATATTTATAATTATATTATCAAAATAAAACTATATTATTTTTTAACACGGCTAATATATTGTGTTAAAATATATAAGACATTTATTTAATTATTAAATTTATCATAAAATTTTGAACGAACGTGAACGCGTTCCTTTTTTTGAAAGTGAATGCGAACGAGTTCGATTTTTGTCTATGAAGGTTGAACGCGTTTGATTTTTTTAGAAATGTTTATAGCACTAATACCTAATAAATTAAACCCATGGCAATTATTTTTGCTAATAATCTTCTAAATAACCAATTGCAATGGGATGGATACTACCAAAGAGTTTTTGTGACACAATATTTGATTTAAATCTATGATAGGAGATCTTGTTTAAAAGAGTATTTATGAAGATCTTAAAAGCATTTAAATGATTTTTTGAGATAAGTGTAGGTTTTATATGAAATTCATGTGTATATTTAATAGTTCCTCATAACTTAATTATATAAAATACCATGATATATTTCTTAAAAAATCATTTTTATTATTATTCTAAAACTAGAGATAGAATAAATACTTTATTTTTATTATTTTGAAATATTATTCAATTCTCCAAACAACTACTCTTTAAATCCAAAAATTTTATTGAATAATTATAAATACTAATGTAAATAAGAAAAAGACTAAAATTTGATTGTAAAAATTTTAATATATAATATTTTAAGAAATGAATAAAAATTATAGTAATATTATTTTTCTTAAAATAATAAAAAATATTCTTTTTTGTTTTTTGAACTAGTAATATCAGGCTCTTTATATAAAACCATACAATCAGTTAAAATAACTCTTAATTCCATTCACATAATACTTGAAAACGTTTTAAAGAATCATGCTGAATGGATTGGTTATTTTTTGTAAATGGAATAATATAATTTTAACAATAAGAAATAGGGAGATAGAATAATCTAATACTAGCTATAATTTATTTTATAAGTTAAAATTCTAAGATTTTTTTTATGTAAATAGATTAATATATTCTTAAATATTTAATCTAACAAAATAATTATTTTTGACAAAAATGGAATAGAATAATCTCCCAACTCAGGTGACAAAATATTTTAATGATTTAAAATGGTTTAACATTTCAATAAGAGATCTTCATGGGGAGAGCGGCCCTGCAGGTATAATATATTTAGTGTCTGAGCCAGTACTGGGTTTTTGGTAAAAAGTCTAAAAAAAATTTCATTTAAATTTAGCCTATTAAACTGTACTTGAAAATATATTGCATTTATTTCTCTAATAATAATAAATTTCAGTATTGCAAACAAAGTGATTTCCTAAATACACTTAAATATTGTTTATTTTCATTTAAAACAATAAATTCAATTTTTGGATATGGGCTTGGGTTTAAATTTTTTATAAAATATGAACTGGGCCTGCAAATTATTTTTACTGCTGATCTGGGCTAGAGGCGATGAATAAATCAAGGGCCGTGAAGGTCTCAAATTTCAATAACTGAATTATTTCATTTCCCATCTGACTTTATTTGAACTTAAAGGAATGGGCAAACCACAGATATGCCTTATTTAAATCATTTGCAAAAAAATTTCTGATATTGCGATTCAAGAAATTGTTGGACACAAGGAAATAAAGAAAGCCATTGTGAAGTGTATATATGGAGGAAATATTAATCTTTTTATTTTAGGATAAATAACAAAAAAAATAATGCCTGTTGTGACCTTGCCTTAAATTTACATATATTTTAGGGATTTTTTAAGAACCCACTATCAAAAATATAAGTTACTAGCTGATAGCCCGTCAAGAATGATGGGGAAAATTTTCTTTATTATTCAATGATGGACGAATAATAAATTTTGCTTTTATTTGATGATGAATATATCAGGAATTTTCCTATCTTTTGAGATGTGATTTGGAAATTTATATTTATTAAGATGAGGGGTTATTCTATAATTTTCCATTATTTTTTATAAAATATGCTTATGAAGTATATGGTTAGTAATTTAATTTATGTGCACAATAAAAAATCTTTTAAACTAAGTTTTTATTCATTTGTATTTATAATTTATATCTAAAAAATAGGGGTGTACCGATACCACTTTTTGGAGGCCGATCCGATCCGATATTTCAGATATTAAATTGATATCGGCCGATAACCGATCCGATATCATATCTAATTTTGTATTCTGCAAAGATACCGGTTTTAATTTTTAATATACTTTTTATTAGTACAACATCTATAATTTTACTATACCATAACATATGTCATTTAAATATATTATAATGGCCAGTTATAGTTTATATTTAATTCAATTGCTATTATTTATATAATAAGTAATAACATTAATCTATTTACATAATTAGTAATAAAAAAATATATTATGAAATTTGAAATTAATATTTAAAATTAATATATCGAAGATTTCTTTTTATATCAGAGATATGTCGGCGGTGATGGGGACTGGGTAATTCCATACCAAATCGATAACTTTTCGGCTCAACCTTTTTAATTTCGATAAAATTTTGTATACTGAGAGAATATCATTAGAAAGCATCGAATCCAAAATTTTAGCCTCCTAGTACTCATAGTTCCTGAGATATGAATGGTCAAAAGTGCCAAAAATGACGTTTTTTCGAAAAATGCGATTTTTTAAAATTGAGATAAGTTAAAAAATAATGATTTTAAAAATATAAGTTATATGTCAATTTATAACTCTATTAAGGGCCTTTTATTGAATATTAAAAATTTTTTCAAAATAATATTGTTGCGGTTTTTATTTAAGTTATAAATTTTTAACATGAAAACTCCAAGTGTTTCGCTTTCCAAATTTTTTTGAATTTAATATTTTCTTATTCTCTAACATTATATCTATTCATAAAAAAATTTTAAACTTGGGACAGCCATGGGTTTTTTAGTTATTGCGATTTAAAAAATCAAAAAATAAATATTATTTTCAAAAATAGATGGCGCTCCTTTATAAAATAACGCGTTTTGTTAAAATTATTATTTTTTTTAACATTTTTCCATTTTAAACATAAATAATAAGGTTTTCCAGCATTAATAATTTTAAATTTCGTAAAATTATTTTATTAATTTGTAAATATAATAGATAAATAAAAATTCATGAAAGATATTACTTAATTAATAAATTCGTCTGAAGATTGAGAAATAGTCTCCAGAGTTGTTCTATCTACCGAAACCCATTGTTTAAACGTAATAAGAGCTATATCATTTTTTATAAATAATTTTTCAATGCGTTCTTTTAAGAGTGTCGAGCCAGGACACTCGCTACAGTCACCAAAATAACAGGTTGGTAATGGGGGGTTGCAAATCATTCTGCCTATAACATCTCTATAAGTTGTTAATATATCCTCACCATTTTTAGTCAATGTTGCTAATTCACAGCCTAAAATCATTAGTTAATATTCTGGTGTATGCTACAAACGCATACACTATGTGTTCCGCTAGCCCCTGCCAATATGCAATTTTTTGGTCTTAAGCTTGCGAATTTCGAAAATCCAATTGTTATGCTTGAATTACCCTCCTTAAAATGACTATATAATTCTTTTAAATTATTAAGAACTAGCCTTTTTTGAGCGTTCACTCGTTCCCCCTTTTCAATGATAGATAAGCAATCTTTTTTTCCTGGTAATACCCTTAATATCACTAGCATCACTAAAAACAGATACTGAAGAGATTAATGAACACTTTTTTAAGCAGAATGCGAAAAAAAAATAACTATATTGCAGAATGTTTATTAACTAATTATTTCTATTAAAAAAATTAAACATAAAAATGTATTTCGATTATATTTATAAAAATAAATGGTTTTTTAGATATAATTTTTTTTAAATTTTGTTAAAAGTGCCATTTTATATCGGATCGGAAAATTTTATAATATTTGCCGATAACCGATATTTTAAAATGAGCGAAATATCGGCCCGATCCGATCCGATATAAAATATCGGTACATCCCTACTAAAAAATATATTCTTGCTATATGAGTTTTGTGTAAAAAAATAGAAATTTCTAAATTACACGTCATAAAATAGGAAATTCTCTGAATCATCCATCATCAAATAAAGGTAAAATTTATCATTCATCCATCATCAAATAAAGAAGTAAATTGTCATTCTGGGCGGGTTATCAGCTAGTATAATATATAAAATACAATTCTTGGTAAATAATTATATCTTTATTTAACAATGTATCAAAAAAATAAGATATATTTGTTTAATTATCGTTGTAACAAACAATAATAAGAGTTCATAATTAGATCAATAAGTTTAAAACTATTATTTTAATCTTATTTATGAAATTTACAAATTCATAAAATTTTCGCCAGTATTAAGCACTAATGTATCATTTTTGAAAATTCAAAACGCGATATTACAGATAATATATACCTTGGTTGGGGATTCCTTGGTGGAATACCACAAGGTCTCGTTTATCGTAGTTGACATCAGGGGAAGGCACTTGGTTCATGATAAAAATCAAGACTTGGATCTTTTGATAATCGGGTAGGTTCGCCGCGAATTCTCCCATAGTGTGAATGAGGGCTTGTTGAAAATCTTCCTCGCCTTTCATCATTTGCTATCAGTATTTTTAAAATAAAATAAAAATAGATTTTATATGAAATATTATGTAGTAAGGTATATTATGAAATTGGCCCGAGCCAATAAATGACCATACATGGTCATTTATTGATGCACATATGAAGCCAATCCCTTTCCATTAGATAAAAATAGATATTTTTTTGAAGAATTTGTAGAAAAATAGCAAAAATGTTTATGGTTAAAAGTTATATTGCAACAGCTCAGCGATAACACAAATAGGTACGTTTGTGCTAGCTAGATGTACTTATCTAACAATCCATTGTTTAATATTTTCATGCCATATCACATAAAAATTTATTTAAACACTCATAGGTAAATTGTAATAAGTTACATTCCTATAAAGGTAACTAACTAGTTACCGTTATTTTTGCAAAAATGTAACCAGCTACTTACATTTTTCGACTTTTTAGATTTACTCTCGATTTCAGAAATAAGGATGTAATAATCTTTGTATGAAGATTGTACTTTTCTGAGCCGACTTGGCCTCTTAAAATATTTTGAATAATTTGAATATATATTATAAGTATATGGGTTTCATTTCATAAACAATGATAAGATCTGTTAATTTTTAAATATTTCTATATAAGAATATAATAAATATAAATTATTTAAAAATTTTATGCCTATTATGTTTTTTTGTTAATTTTTATCTATCAAAAAATATCATGAATATCAAATTAGTGTTTTAAAAATATATCGGAGATCAGATCTGATATTTTTTATTGTTTTTGGTAATTTTATAATTCTAATATATAAATAATTTCATAATAATAAATTAATGAAAGGAACTAAAATACAATTTATTTGTTGTAATGGTTAAGTAAATAGTTAAATATTTTACACTATTATTTGTTATATTATCTGCAATTAAAATATCTAAAGAGTCAAATTCAGCTAGTGTTGTTAAACGGCTAGATTAAGCCAATTTTAACTCAAGATTTTGGCCAAAAGTAAATTAATCAAGCTAATTTATTTTGTCCACATATGCAGAAAGGATTGAGTTTCTATTGGTGAAACAAAGCGGATAAAGTATAATATATAATACCACAAGGAAAAGAATGTAAAAGAAAAAAATGTAAAATTCTTTATTTTATTTTGGTTGAAACAGGTTCAATCCGGTTTAATGTACGGTTCAGTTATGATCGGATATTTATATTTTTTATAACGATTTCGCTGTTTATTCCGGTTCACTCCATGAAAGTGTTATAAAGTTTAGCAACTTCTTGTATTTAAGTCTATGGACAAATTAAACCTGATTTTTTTTAGGTTCGGGGCCAAAAATAGGTCCAATGCAGGGTTCTACTACATAATATAAATAAAATAATTATTTATGAGTAAATTTTTTTACCATATCTGGACTGCTTGTTTGAACGGATTTTTTTAAATCAATAAACATTTGGTTAAACCATTGATGAATGGAGGAACCGATGGAGGAAATGGTAGCGAGTGTGATAATCTGAGATATCGATCTCATTATATTAGCCCTTAAGAACGGGTCTTCTCTTCATAAAAAAGGGTTGAAAATTAGATCATTATGAAATAACAAGTAAAAAAAAAACTATTTCCATCAATAGAGCTATTCTTCTTTTTAAATGAGAATGGGCCAATGTGTTTAGGCATTTTCATTTGGTAAATATTGGATAGGTCATTTCATGCATTTTACATGGTAACCAGTTTGAACCGTCCTTTGGCATATTACTTGCTGTGCTTTTACCATATTTGTAGAGAACTTCTTTCCTTTCGTGGTATCTTAACAGATTTGCAATCAAGTCTATATAGTAGCTATGAGTTTATAAGCAGCATAATATCGATCTGACTGCGAGCGATTTGATAGAAAAAAAAAATAAGCAATGATAAGACACCCGTCCAGCAATTTTTACTATGGGGAGGGGGGGGGGGAAGGGTAAACGCAGGAGTGCCAGTAAATTCTCGGGGACTGGGAGTATTTTTTATCGAGCCCCCTTTGTCCTTAGTGGATAAGTAAATATTATAATTTATTTTGTAATATATTTTAACAATTTTTATAGAGTTATATATAATTTAAAATATATTACTGTTATGTTATCAATAAAATGGATATACGATCCATCTATATCAGTAATAATTATCTGGGACGATAGCGTGTATTTAAGTTAATTATGAGTATTAATTTTAGAAGGGGTAAAAAATATCAAGGTAGAGTGGGGGGGGAGGTGTCGTCAATGGCTTAGGGAGTATAGAAACCGCAGTGCCTATCAATTGTTAAAGCATATAGTCATATGAATATAGAGATGATGTTAATCTTATGGTAATTGGATTCTCTATATAGAATTTCCGTTAAATCGATATAATGGTATCATCGATTTCATCTCATGGTTACTATATAGACGTGATCGCAAATCTATTAAGATAAATAAAATAACGAATTTATGTACAAACATGGCAAAACAGAAATAGATACAAACTGGTTACCATCAAAACTGTAAGATAGAACCTCAATATTGTTAAATGAAAAGTGATAATAGGTTTAGGACAAAGTATAACGATAAGAAGGTTAGATGCAAAATGTCAAGGTTTATTCGTAATATATTAAAAATTATTAGAAAAAAACTGGAAATTTACATTCCATATCACATATTGTGTATTTAAGCATATAATTTGAATCTTCTTCTATGAAATTTATCAATTAATTTTTCATAGAAGTAAATCATGAGATTCTTACTATATATCGAAGGAAGGAAAATAAGCAGTATGACAAAAAAAACTATTTTGCTGTAGTGTCTGCAATGCACTGCTAATTTTTTATAATTAACAGTTAGTCATTTAATGACTGTGAAAATGAGACAAATATTTATCAATGAGCAGATGTTAAAGATTTCAGAAATTTATGCAATGAATACTAGTCATTAGCCTTACTTTGATAAATTTTAAAACGTTCTCCCACATTTAGTATTTATTGTTGCATTTTTGCGTAACAAAAAAATGCATTATGCAAATCGTAAACAAAAATAATGTTTTATTAAAATTATTAAGTTATTATTTAGATCCCCGTCTATGTAAATGAGAAAAAAAACGCGTGATATTTGTAGATTTTTTTCATACTTTAAGAGTTTTAACAAGTGGGATGTAGAACGTTTAATTTTTCGCTTGGGAGACTATGTAAATGTTGATTAAAGAAAAAGGATATATAATGGAGAAATCATAATGCGAAAAATTATTAATTTTTTGTTTAACTTAGATTTTAATTTTTTACTTTTATTTTTCTTATATTAATTTTATTTTTCTTTTATTTTGATTATGTTTGTCACATTGTATTTGATTATAGTGATTTATTTAATAAAGATTAATAATCAGATTTTAGTATATATATATTTTTTATTTTTATTTTTTTAGGTTCTAACTTTTCTCAATAAGCAAAAACTCAATTGTGACATTTATATAATAGTTACTTTCAAAAAAAAAGGAAAAATGTAAACCTAAATCATATTTAAAAAGATACAAATTTTAGTTCTAGCGAAGGTAACACTTAAGTTAAAAGTTAATTCTGAAAATTTGTGGAGGGTTCGAAACATTTTTAAAAAACTTTTTAGTGAATAAATGATAAATTAACTCATGTTCGTCCATGTGCAGTAACAACATATCGATGATTAAATGTGTGTGCTGAGGTTTGACTGAGTACATAATCAATTTAAGCACCTTGGCTGAAAAGGCCTCCGGCGGATCCCATAAGTGATGGTAATCGAAGTGTTCCATAAGTGGAAGTAATAGGCTCTGAGAAATATTGATAAGAAATATATAATTTGATTCAGTTTTTTATTCATCGATTATATTTTATTATTGTTGAAATTAAAAACTGTTATTATTACAATGGAACGCTATTAATTTACTTTGTCTAAAAATACATACGCATTATATGAATATTAAGAGGGTTAGAGAAGTGTAAATAAAATTGGCAACAAAATATATTAGAAAAATACGAAGAAATTTTTTCAAAAAATTAAAAATAAAACACCTTCAAAGTAGGGTAGGAGGCCTTAGCAACTAGTTCTCTTAAGCATAATTCCGCCAAATCCGTCAACCTTTCTTTCTTATAATAACTTGATGATCCTTCCAGTAAGTTTTGACCCTCCGTAGATTTATTAGCCAATTGATTTCTAAACTTTGTCCCAATATTCCCGCCTAAATTTTGGGAAGTTTCCACGTGTTTGTCCAATTTATCGAACGCGGTATATTGAGGAGTATCTTTGTCGTGCATATTGTATAGGAGAGAGGGTACTATTTTTTTCATGTGTTCCAGTTCGTATATATTAACCTGAAATAACAAAGAAAAGATATGTCATTTAAAATTTATTTAAATAAATTGACCTGTTCTAAAAAAGGATATGTACTATAAATGCCCTTGAAATGTGTACATATGATTAATTAAGGATAAGGCCATGCCAGAACGTTCTATTGTATAATTTTAAAAGGATTATTTCGAGAATTTATACATTAAAATTTTTATTATCAGTTTATTAGTTATTAATTCTAAATCATTTCCATATTTTAAAGTAATAAGTGTATAATATAACTAGCCTGTTATAACTAATAACATTTTTATTATTATTTCCATTCGCTCAATTTCTCAAACGCTACAACACTGTGGTATGGCCTTCGCCTAAGGCCATAGTAGATCGTCATATAGTTTTTTAAAAATTCAAGTATATTTCGTGGCTATAATATTTAAAATATTTTTTTAAATATTCATCCATAAATAAAGAGGGTAAAAAAAGAGTTAATTAGAAGTGTACACTTTGTATTTCCATTAAAATCCCATCCAGAAAAGCTAATATGATTGTATTTCCATTAAAATCCCATCCAGAAAAGCTAATATGATTATTTTAGAAAAATATATAAGTTAGAGGGTAGTCTATCATCAAGTGCCTGCTCTGGATAATCTGGCACCCTACGCAAAACAAACACTAATCTATCACTCATATGCCAAAAAAAATGCTAATTTTTCAAAAAATAATTACTTAATAATTAATACCTTTACATTTAATTTTTTATTTTTTAAAAAATTTACTTTTAAATTTGAATATATCACTTTATTTCTCTCTTAAAATAACATTTACTTTCTACAATACATACTGCCAATGTCGATAACCAGTTTTGGCTTATAGACGATCAAATAACTTCTCATCAGTTTTAATTTATAACTTCTTTTATTTGTGGTCACCAATAGAGGAATAGTAGCCATTTGGGTACAGATCCTCCTGGGTGACATTAGAATCAAGGAAATTTGATAAATTAACCAACTCATAGTCAATTCATTTGCTAACATGTTCTTTCCGTCAGTGTTTGTATCCGTTAATTTTTAACAGTGCTTCTTTTGACATTAATTTGCTTTTTTAAATATGGTGGAAAATGGAAATTCAACGATTTAAGATGAAAATATATTTTCAATTGAATGTTTTGTAATATCTATAGGATGAAAATAGATTTCCATTCTAAATTTTTTTGGGGAAAGGTCACCATTACATCCGTAGTTGAACACTCTCCTATGTTTTTTCGAATTGTTGAGTCACGTTTTTTTTTGCATTTTACATTGATTTTCTTATAAAATTAATGTTATTATTAAAAATTTGATACCATATAATTTATACACACCTAAATCATTTTTTCAGGAACAATATTTTTGTAAAAACTGGTTTGTTTGTATTATCATCAAACTTTGTCACGATTTCGAAATTAATTATACAAACGTAGTAGTTTTGTGGATTTATAAATAAAATTAGAAACCTATAAGCCCAGCCTCAACCCGGTCTAAAGGTAAAAAATGGTTTTGAAAATCCTACGCCTAACAAAAATCAATTAACTAATTGAAAAAGTCATATAATGAGATCTTAATTTGCTGCTTATATATTTAATTTAATTCATTTCAAAACAATTTACTGAATACAAGCAAAATTATATAAAATGGCGAAATTTTAAAAATTCGAATCTCGTAAATATCAAGATTCTTGGACGGGCCTGAAAGTGTGTGAGAGAGGGGGGGTGTCAAATCAGATCAGGGACCAGACTCAAAAAATACGATCGTTTCTATGTGAGGTTTAGGTTTGATGATAATCTTGGTACAATTAATAATTATTTAAAAAATTAAAAAAATATGAAACTTGCAAATCGTCACCGACAGTTTTTCTAATGACAGCGTGAATCCCCTTTAGCCCCGATTTCCGAATTTTGAGCCTAGATCGCAGATCGAGGTCGCCATTGTGGCACATAGCCGTAAATTTGCTGATGAAAAAATCGTATCTGATAATTAAGATTATAGTAATATCTTTTATTTTTAAAAAGTGTAACATAAAATAAATAATCAAAAAAATATATATATAATCCAGCGGAAGTTAATATTTCGTGTGTTTGACAGTTTTTAGAGGGCATTAAAAAAATGGTTAAATTATTAAAAGAGTTTTTTTTCTCAAATAATATATTTGAGTTTTTGATAATTTTTTTTAAAAAAAAATTTATTCCAAAATTATAATTATTTCTTATCCAGTCCTGGAGGGCAGGGCTAGTTGCAACGTAAACAACAAAATATAGGCCACCAGTGGTCCGAAAAATATTAATGTTATTATTCTTTCTTTCTTGGCCTGGTTAAATAGTATTTAAAATTAACTTTCAAAAAAAATCAGGCGTTGGGAATATATCATTTTTTGTAATAAATGATAAAATAGATAAAGCTATTGCTGAATAATTAAATTTAATGGCTAACATTAAAATAGAGAATAAAATAAATATTTTAAGTTTGAGATTTATTCCCATAGAGCTTTTTTTCATAATTCGAGCCGTGGGCCGAGCCTAGATCTAAAAAATTTCCACTGGGCTGTGGACAGACTTAGGCTAAAATATATTTTGATTTTGCGTGTCTCTCATTTATTATATCGGTCGAATAGAATGATTTAAGAATATAGACATTATTTGAAATTTTGGTTTATCAAGATCCAGCTTTCCAAACCTGATAGAATCGCGAAAAATGAAAAAAAAATTGTACAAATCCACATTTAAGACACATGGTTACCTAGGATTTCGATTGAGTGTATTGTTTCATTTTTCCAAAATTTCCCGATATCAGACAAAACAGATTAGATATAGATATTTGCATTTGATTTATTTATATATTTTTTTTTAATTATATATGGCACATATTTATCATAAAAAGATTTCTGGGGTGAAAAAAAATAATTGATCAGAGTATATTTAAAAACTTATCCCTAAGCTGAGCTCCTACGAGGGCGGATTAAGAGAGAAAAGGAACAAAAGATTCGAGAGCCCTAATTTTTCCTGTTAAGAAGAGGGCCTTATTTATATATTGATGGAATAGTGAGCCAAATCGATATTACTAATAATTAAAATAAATTATCATACATTTATATTAATATTGGATATTTTCTTTTTTTTAAATTACAAAATTTTTTTAAAAAATCAATGATATAAAAAAATAATAATTTAATTGGTAATAATATAAATAATATATATAATAGAGGCATGCAGGCCCGGCTGGCATGATTCTAAAAATCCGCGCCGGGTTTTAATATTTCCTAAAAATCTATGCCGGGCCAATTATTTAAAAATAAATCAAAATTATATCAATATCATTGCTCATATTTTCAATTTCCTTTCAAAACAATTTGCAAAATGCAGAACAAAATTATTCAAACTAACAAAAAATTTGAAAAATTCCCGTCTGCGCCATGAAATGTTTAAAAAATAAATGTCCGTCGGGTCTAAAATTTTAAGGTCTTCGATATTTATATCAAATAAACTGGAAAAAAAAATCGGTAGCGACCCTATCGACCGTCTGATATCTGCTCGATAAAGATATAAATTAGTGTAGTTGATTTTGATTTTTATATATTAATTAACGTCTGATCCTATATTTCAAAAAAATGTATCGATCAGTGGTCTGCAATGCCAGGTCTGTTACTCGGCCAAACCCATGTCTGAAAAAAAATTTGGGCCGAGCGGGGCAAAGAAATTAATGAGCCGGGCAAAAAGTAGAGATGCCTGGCCCGCATAATTGTTAAAATAATATTTTTTTATTAGCTTGTATAAATAAATAATCCAATTAACTTTGGTTCATCAAATACGCCACCTCAAAGAAAATAATTTATACAAAGAAACAATAAAATACAAAGGTATTTTATATTAACAATAATCAAAGATGAATAATATAATAACTAATACAAATATTCAATAAGTATAATCGTCATCGTTAGTTGTGTTTAGAGGATAAGTGGTTGGAGTAGTTTGTGTAGTTCTAATGGCATTGAATTGGTGTACTTCTAGTTTTCTCGGTTTTGTAGTAAGTTTAATTTGTATAATCGTCATAGCCAGATGTGGTTAAAACATAATTGGGTGGTGTATTTCATATAGTTCAAACTAACCTGTCAGTTGGTACAATTCTAGTTGTCGGTAATTTGGTGAAGTTCTCGTCATTCTGTAAGTTGGTGTGGTTTCTAGTTGCCTCGGTTTTGTAGTAATTTATATAATTGTCGTAAACATTTGTGGTTGGAGAATAAGTAGTTACACAAATTAATTAAATATTTGTATTATTTATTATATTATTCATCTTTGATTTCATATTGTTAACATAAATATTATTATATTTTAATAAAATCCTATTATATGGGGAAAAAATAAATAAATAGATTCACAATGAATTAATAAAATAAATTATTAAATAGTAATAAAAAAAATAGAATCTGATTTTTAAATACACTAGGTATCATAGTAAAGATTAAAAGTATTATATAATAACATTGGTTGTAATTTAAATAGGGGAAAGCGGAAAATCCGTCCCTCATTAAAAATTGTCTTTTTAAATATCATATTTTATTTAGGTAGATAAAAATTGACACCCCAACACATCCCCTCGTCCTATCTCTACAAAAAAAATAAACAAAATAATAACTCATAAACATATTTTTTGAAATAATTAAAGTATGTTATTAACTTTTTTTTAAATTATTGCCATAATTTAAATTTTAAAAAAAGAAATATAAAATGAAGATTATTTTTAATAATATATAACCCGGTTATAGGTCTATTAAAAAGCGAGCCTAATGCTCTCAAATAAAATTTGCGTGGAAAAAAGGCAACTCAAGATATCCCTCCTTCTTACGAAAATCCGTGATTAGCTTATAGAGCTATGCAAAATAGAATTATATAAACTAACCTCCTATGATAAGAAGGAATGTCTTCTTCGATATTGGCGAATTTGACGAAGGAATTAGTGGCCAGTATATTGAGATCGGGTTCCTCGCATTCCAGCAATTTCTGCACCATTTTGAGGAAACTTTCAACGAATAGGTTTAAAGTTTGGGCGTGACACGCTACGAGCAATTGGTCCAGGGCCTCCATGGATATAAATACGTTGCCATACCGTTTGCGTGATACGTCTCTCGTCATCCTTTTTCCATCATAGGATATATTAAAAATTGATTTTTTTTAAATATAATTCGGGTTAAACATTCTGCAAAAACAAAAAATCTTGGCAGCGCCATCGCAAGAAATAAAAAATATAATGAGACTCCCTATAATTTGACCATTTATAACTCTAAACCACCACGGATGCTGCGTGGTGGGTGGGGGGTGTTATGCCTTTGATAATATATTTTTGATTTAATGAATAAATAGTTACAATAAGAACAGAGCAAATAAAATAATAAAAGAAAAAAACTGCTAGGTTCTTAAGAAAACAGCGCGAATCGTGGCTAGGGAATTTCGAAAGGGAGAATTACGTATTCTAATATTAAATTTGTTTCGGCAAAAGAAAAAAATGACTTTAAAATATTGACATGGGAATTCGAATTCGAACCCGGATTGGCGGTGTACCGACCTGCATTTAAAAAATGGCTATTTAAACTTATTAGTCCATGTTTTTCAAGTTTTTTTAAGTGATATATTAAGTCGACAAAGAAATAATGCTTAGCATTAACCACAAATCTCTAAAAAAAATTAACAAGTTATTTCAATCAATTTAAGCGTGTTGTACATTTACATTTTTTTTAAATATATCTGAATTACTTATAAAATATATTGCATTTTTGTCTCAATTTGTATATTAATTAATAAAATATTTTTAAATTTAATAAGGCAACAGTAATAAAATAAGTTTTTAATTTTATTATTCATAATTTTAACTCTAGCAATGCTTGACCTGTTTTATTATAATTACAAATTAAGTTTAGAAATTTGATGAATATAAAAATAGTTAAATTAAATTCATATCGATCCGTTGGTTGAATTTGGAAATGATTCCAAACCCAATGAAGATTAAGAAATATAAAATTGCTAGGTTATCACTTATCAGTATTTGATAATAAATGATATCCAATTTATTAACAATTTGATATAATCTAGTTTTATTTAGTACTGTAAAGTAACGTCGATAAAAGTAATGAGTAACGCGTTGCTTCAAAAAAAATTAAAAATATGTGAGTTTTATATTTATTTTTTTAATTTTATAAATAAAGCCGAGTTTTCAATTCAGATCAACCAGCCAAAATTGGATTAATGTTAAACGATGTTAAAGTTAACATATAGTAATTTAAATAACAACCAAATTTATATAAGATGCAATAACTAAAGATAAAAAAAATATGATGATCTAATGTTCTTTTAAAATAAAAATCAATCCTTAAATATTTTAATAAATTCCAATTATAAATTTTATTTATTAAAAATCGTCCCATCATCGCCAACAGAACGTGTTTAGCTTAACAAACGCTATGTTCAGCATAGCACTTTTGTTTAAGTGATTAAAATTTTTAAAAACATTATTACAAAAAGAAATTCTCATAATATATGATTTTTATATAATTTTATTTTTATTATCTATGGGTAAAAAAAATATATAAAAAGATAATTTATATATATTTAGTATTTTTTTAAGTTACGAGTAGCGCGTTAGTTTTTGAGCGAGTAACAATTTATCTTTTTCACAAGATTACGAATAATCGTAAGGCGTTACTTTTTTGCAAGATAAAAAACAGAACAACGCATTTCTTTTTTGATATACCGTTTGCAGCAATTGGCGTTATTTAGATAATGTCTTTAAACCGCAGGATAGGTTTATCTAAGTATCACTTTTTAAATATATTCTATTTTCTATGTTTAAAGTCAATGTACATTATGATTGGCTCCTTATTTGTCATATTTTTAATAATAAGCTTTTATACCAATTTTTCCCCCATTCAAATATAAAAACATCAGTATTGGTATCAGAATATATTTTTTAAAAATCCAGCCAATTCCTTATTTCATTATGATTCTCATCTAATGATATTTTGGGCAATGTTAAAATGAATTTAAAATATATTTGTGCAACTTAAAAATCTAAAAGCCGGTCAGAAGTGAAAAAGGCAGCTTAGAGTCTTGCTAGTCAGTTCAAAGTGCTCATGTCTAAAATGTGTACTATTATGTAATGTGTTGCAAAAGTAACGTTGTTAATCTTTCCCAAATAATTAGGTAAGTGCCTTACTATTGGGAAAAATATTATGGTACTTTTTAAGTTTATATTTTAATCCTTTTTATTTTATTATTGTTTAATATTATTACATAAATATATTAAAATTTATGTGAATAAAACAATATATATATACATTAAATATATGTTAAAACAAAAAAAAGTAAATATAAAGACTAAAATAAAAGACTAATTAAAATACTATTTTATAAGCAATTGGACCTGTGAATTGATAAGATTTGAATGGCAAATTTCTAGACCGATGTTCTGGCAAATATAAAAATATTCTTTAAAATTGCTTAGGTTTAATATTTATTTTAAAAATTATTATAATTATTTTAAAAAAACATATATATAAAATCAAGATTTTAAAACAAATTATACCTATATATCTTATTTCATTTTTCTGTCAGCTCTTATTTTTAATGGTCTATTGAATGCCTTAAGAGTAGTGCTAGTGATGAGAATTTTAAATTAATTAAGAATTATCTTCATCATTACTTTAAAAAGCCATATGAAAAAAGGAAATAGTATTTTGCTTCTTTTTAAAATTGATAAAAATAAGACATCTAGCAGGGAAGGCTAAAACTCATTCTCAGGATACGAAAAGACGTTCTTTTAATGAGAATTTTAAAGACTACGAAGTGTTAAATTTCTTTGTGAATAAAGATACATCTTGAAAAAACTTTATATAACGCATCAATCGTTACTTTTAAAAACAAGTAACGAATGGCGTTCTTTTTCCTTGAAAATAATCCTAACTTGATAGAACGTTTTACAAATTTTTTAGCTGTAATCATAATTGTTATTGAAAGCTTTTTTAATCTTATTTTTGTAAAAAATTAACTTATTTACCTCATTTTATTATATTGATAATTTTGACCAACCCTGAACCTAGGTTTGGCCTTCTAAGCTTGAATAAACTGAACCCCATTTTTTAAAGTTACCAAACATGAATTAAACTTGAAAAAATTTTTATAGATCTAGAACCCTATTTTTGTTAAAAATAATTAATTTAAGATATTCTCTGGAATCTAATTTTATTAAAATTTGTTTAATTTATATTTTTTTAATAAAAATTTTTAGGTTAGATATGATCATAATATAATATTCTCAAATTGTGCCAAACTTGGGCCTTAAAATAAATTTAAATCCCTTGGGCATAAAATGAGGAATTTCCACTGCAAAACTGCAGCTATAGAAAGTGATCAATTAACTTTAGATTTAGAGGCTTCATAAGTAAACTAAATATAATAATGAACAAACACTTCTTTTATTACAAACATAATTAAGGCATATTTAAACAATAATTAAATCATATAATAGCCAAAATTTTAAGAAAATATGAAAGATTTTTTAATTATTTATTTGTAAATTTAAATAAAATAAACTTTGTTATCTAATAACATAATTAATGGATATAAATAATAAAAATATTGAAATTTACAATTGTATAATTTAAAAACTAATGTGATGTCATAAATATTGTAATTTAATATATAAATAAAAGGTTCTCTGGTATTGGTGGGAGGGGGTGGGCAATAAATTAATTTTTATTTATGGGATATCTCAAGGGATTACACTTTTAGTCAACACACATAGTCAATATCCATTTTATAATTATTTTTATCAGAGGCGCCTAGGCACCACTGACTTAGAGGGGTTAGTATAAGTATATTATATATATGAAAATAACAAATATAATATAAGCTTAAAGAAATATAAATAATCATGAATCATTATTATATACTTTAATAACATAATTCCTATAAAAATATCTTTAATTTATTAATTAAATAAATATAAATAGTTAATATATTATATTAAAATTTATAGCAGCTATTTAATATTTTGAATATTATAAAAAATATACTTTTTGGCTAGATATTCTCCAATACGATCTAACTTTTCAGGCGAAGACAATGCAAAGAATGTCAATTTCTCCATATTATTCCTAACTAGCCCATCGTTTGGGTTAATAGGGAATATATTATCAACTAAACGTTGATATCTTGGTTTAAAAGGGCCACAACATGTGCAACAATTTTTACGCATAGTTTTCAATGATAGGGATGAAAAAAGATAGAAACCTAACAAATGTGTTAGGCATCACGAAGATGTGGTAATGCCTAAACTTTTAAAAAGCTTTCAACATCTCATCGCTAAATACAACAAGTATAAGAATTTTAATTTTTTTCCAAGTATTGCTTAAATATTTCTAACAATTTGTTTAAAAAAATTGCAGATATAATTTTGTGAGAATATAACAAGAAGGGAACGGGCGTCATTTTAATGAATGAAACAATCAGGAAAGGAATATTTTAAAATTGGGGTCAGTAAGAAGAGTATAATTATTTTTAAGACCTGAAATAATTAGTTCTAGAGATTCTAGCCGAACTAAAAGAAATTTGAATTAAAATTGGAAGAAAAATTTAAATCCAAGTCCGGTTGAAAATAGTTGACCATAGTAGATCTCTGAGTAAAATTTATATATTAAAAATAATTTACATTTTATTACCACTGAAAAGATTTTTTAGTCCATAAGAACTAAGTAAAACTTTATTTTACTTTTAAAATAAAAATAAAATAATGAAAATAAATAAATTTCACTACTTATTTTTTATTATTACAGGGCAATCTAGCTAAATAAATTACGAATTAAAACCTGCCCATTCCCGACTTGCGGTTTAGATTTCCTTTTTGATAAAATAAATCAGGTAAAAATAAATTATTGAGAAGAGGAGTTGTAGAGGGGAAGGTGGTGGTGGCAACGTCTACATGACAGGATTTTCACTGGATGCAAACACCCTTCAAAAACCTACCCCTACCTCCCCCCCTTCAAAAAATAAGATGCAAAGTGTTCCTACCCCCCCCCCCTCCCATTCATGTAGACGCTAGGTGGTGGTAAATTTTTAGTGAGGTGATATTGGCATTCAGTTAAAAGCAAGAAAATTTAATGCAATGCGCTAGTTCTGAGTGGGCATTCCCCAGGCGCGTAGCCAGAAATTTTTTAAGGAGAGATGGGGGGGGGGGGAATAATTTTTCTCTATATTGAAATAAAAAAAATTGAACCATTGAAAATTTATTAGTACTAATCAATATAAAAATGGATTATAATCAACTTTATTAAAAATTGCAATTTCAAACACAACAAAAATAATAAAATATTGGAAAATACAAAATATTTAAAAGCGAATATATAAAGTATTATAATTTCTATATCCGGTATGTAAATCTGAGTAAAATATGGACTAATCATTATCTGATGATTTGAAAGTTAATCAAAATATCGTTCATAAAGGAAAATTTATTCTACTTTGTGATTGCCCCAATTTCCCAATGGATTGTTTTGTATTGGGGATTAAATCTATATGTATATTAAGCAAGTTAGTCCATTTAATTGATCTTCTGAAGTCGTACTTTTGAAATAGGTTTTTAATCTTTGGTATTGTTGCCAAAATATTCAGTAATTTTTTATATTTAGAAAAAACTCTAAAATATATTTTAAGGCAGGCAATGCTTCCATTGCATTTTTTGGAGGATTAGCTATTGAAATTGACTATATATCATTATTTAAATTCTGAAATTAATGGGCCTTCAGAAATTATATTCTCTGAAAAATTAGCTAAATATTTAATTTTTTCAATATCAAAATTTTATATATCCTCAAAGGATTTATAGGCAAAATAATATTTGCAAATTGTATGCAGTCATTTGATGAATCGCAAGTCGTTCTTTGATATGAGCACAAATGTACCTAAAAGTGAAACAACTGGTATTTTATAGTAATCCTCAATTTAGACCGCATTAATATTAAAAGCATTTTTTGTCTAGGTGCTAGCCTAGGATTACGAATCTCAAAATCATATAATTTAGCTTTCGCCTCGACAATCACATAAATTCTTAAAGTGTTCTATTTTATCTCATAGCATCTAAGTGATAATGTAATAATATTCGTGATTCTCATAACTTCAGCCAAATCCATATCAATTTTTGAAAAATATTGCATAAATTTGTTATGTAATTAAATAATTTATTAATGCATTCCAATGCGAAAAAAATCGGCTGCCGTCTTGGATCTAATAATATATCTGCGTCAGATGAAATATCTAATTCTGATCATTTTTATATTTCTTCAAGGGATTTTAAAATTGGCTCCTCTAGATTCAAAAATGCTGTGGCAGCTTAATGTCGATGTCTCTATCTTGCGGGTATGTTTTTTGCCCATTTCTTTTTTCTTGTAGCACAAGAGGTCTCAGAAATTATTCTTTTCAGAAAATTCTGTCTCTTTGAATATCTGAACATTTCATACACTCTAAAAATATTATCAGATTATGATAAATTAGAAATTTTTTGGTTCACAAAATTATGTTTTATTTATCAATGTTTAACCTTTATAAAAATGTAAGAAAATATACTTTAAATTTTCATGGGATAAGATGTAATACACAAGGTAGAAATATACAAATTAATTTTAATATTTTGCTAAAATTAATAGAATATAATTCACAGCTCATGATTTTTTTTTATATATTTCAAGATTTTTGCTACGACTTCCCCCCTTCTGTTGGCTACGCTCCTGGCATATCCTATAAAGAAATATTTATAAATATATATATATGTCCTTATTGTGAAGACCAATTGTTTTTAAATATTTAATGTGTTTTAATTATTTATTAATAATAACAATAAAATGCCTTATTACCTCAAGGTTGCCATCCAGCCCAGGGTCATTTGTAAATAGTAAAAAGAGCAACTTTTGCTTTTTTAAATAGCATCCTCTAACGGTAGAAAGCTAAGGTTTTTTTTATTTTTTAGTCTAATGATTCTACCCAATGTTGCAATAAGCTTAATTTTAAAATATAAAAATAAAGTTTTATCGCAAAAGAGCAGTGTTGTTAAAGGCTACTTTTAAAAGTAGCGCGCTATCGCTACCGCTATTTTATAAAAAAAGTAGCACGCTATCGCTATCGCTTTCAAATGAGTAGTGCGCTATTAGCTACTTTTTACGCTATTTTGATTTTTTTTTTAAATTTTTTTTACAGAACTTTATTTCCACAAATAAAATATTGGTATAAAAACATGACTATAATTCGTTAATATATAATTTATTTAATATTGCACTTTATAATAATAACATTTTGTACTGTCATCCCCAAGTCTAGAGCGACGATCAGAAAGTATAAGCTTCGCCATACTAAATAATCGTTCAGCACTAGCACTTGAGGGCAACGCAGTATTAAATTTAATAAACACACTTTTTATATGAAAAAAATCATCAAAGATATTTAAATGAGTATTTTTAGATTTAAAAAAAATAATCTAGAGGTTCAATATTATTATTTATTTTAAAAAAATCGTCTATGGAATGCCGCGGTTTCGATCTTGCTATAGTATTAGGATCGTGGTTAGGCATGGCATTTTTTAATGTTACCATCAGCCTATCAAGTTGCCATTTAGATTCAGTCAAATTAATGTATAGCCAATTTAACTTGAAACTAGGATGAACGATAGCAGTTATTACATTATCATTATCATACAGATCTGGAAATCTAATTTATATAAAGCGATTGTATTAATTATAAAATAAGAAAAATACCTATTTAATTTTCAAAATTTAAATTTATCTGATATTTATTCATTTATAAAAAAATATTAAAATAGTATTAAATTATGGTAAATAAAGATTTTAAAAATATAATTATTATACACAAGGTAATTAATAATATATTAATTTTGAATTTTGTATTAATATTATAGATTGAGTTTTAAATTAAGCCAATTTAAATTATGGCTAATCAAGCAATAAATCATGCATTTTATATAATTGTATAATAGAAAATAAAAATAAAGTTTTGACCTTTTCTTAATGCCTTTTAGCATAGACTCTACCAGTGGTTAGCAAAATTTTCTTGCATCGAAACCGATATCCAGTAGTAATTTTTTCTTTAAGATTAAAGTATTTTTTGAATTTTGGGAAAGGATAATCTATATTTTTCTCATTTTCCAAAGAAATTTCACTATCTTCAACAATCTCACACATTTTTAATAACTAGATTTATAATGCTAACTAGATTGATAATGTATATTTTTAAATATAAATTTAAATTTCAAAATTAAATAAAATAAAATAAAAGGATTATAATTTTTGATTTAATAAAAAATATATTTTAATAATTTTTATATGTATTTATTATGTAAAATTCGCTATTTTCTAAAAAAAAAGTAGCCAGCTAAAGCTACCGCTACTGAAAAAAGCTATAGTTGCGCGCTACTTGTAACGCGCTATTTTTACAACACTGCAAAAGAGCAAAACAAATGCCATAGTGTCCTTTTTCAAACATATAGTAACCTTATGAAATTTCATAAGCTAAAGCCATACCAGAGTGTTCTTTAATTTGATCGCTTAAGAAATTATGCGTTTGTTAGTCATTATAAACAGTATAGTAAAAAATTATTCAGAGTAGTTTTAAAGATATTATAATTACATCTATTACTTAAACGGTAATTATTCGGAATTAATAAAGTTAATAAGTATACCAATACCATAACATTTTTAATATGCAAACGTTCGTATCCATTCGAAATTATTTTGCAACCCTCGATTTTTGGCTTTCTCTATTTTAACATTATGCACTCGATCGCTAGAACGCCTGGTATGGCCTAAGCCATAGTGTCCTTTGTTGATATCAATTACAGAATGGACATTATGTTTTTGAAAAAATTCACGATGGGTTTGAAGATGCTGAATCACAGAAGATAATTTCCGGAAAAAAAATTCAAATAACTTTTTAATAATAATTTTAAATAAACCCCCCCCCCCCTTCCTCTTTCTCAGAAAAAAAAAATTTGAGGTAGTATTTCTAGTAAATTATCTTTCGCTTAATAAAAAAACTATATATTTTAGGTAACATATAATTAAGAATGAGATCACCAAGAAGAATAATTGCAAATGTAATAATATAATATAAATTTTATTCCATATTTCAATGTGAATAAATTAATAGTAAACATCTGTAATTACACACTAAGGACGGATAAGGTTAAATAACCCAAATTTTTTTACCCTCCT